ATAACAACTTAAATGTAATACTTTAGCAATTAAATTAATGCCTATTGTATTTTGATTTTATTAGTCCGATCAGCATTTTGGTCTTGTGTGTGGTACTATCGATCGTCACTTGCTCAGTCTTCGGCAAGTATTTTTTTACTTCCGTTTCTGAACACATTGGAGAAAGAAGACATTTCGTTGTACTGTTTTCGACTCTTACTTCTTGTCTGAGCCCAGTTCCCCCCCCCCCCCCCTCCCGCGCGAAGCACAGAAGCTTTGACGTTTTATTAAATTATTAGAAAGAAGAAGATTCGTTGTACCGTTTTCTACTCTTAATCCTTGTCTGAATTCAGTTTCCCCCTCTCGCGCAAAGCGTGGAAGCTTTTCACGTTTCATTAAATTATTAGAGAAAGAAGACGATTCGTTGTACCGACTCTTTATTATTGTCGGAGTTTTCAAAAATGTTTTTTTGTCCGATAAAAAGTCACAGTTCGTAGGGAGAAAAAAAATTGCAGGCCGACTGAACGTTATACGTCTCACCGACTTCAAACTTCTGCATTGATGTAGTACACGAGGATCGAGCAAGAATACCGACACACCGGACCTGACACAGCAACATAATTATCTATGCGTATCTTTCTTGCCCCCTCGACGTGGTGACTCCATCAAACATCCCCCTCTCTCTTACTCCCACCCCTCTTCTCCCAGGCTCTTACCCCCTCACCCCACCCCTCTTCTCTCACGCTCTTACTCCCTCACCCCCCCCCCCCCCTCCCTCTTCCTCTCCTCCCTTCATTCCCTGTTTTTTATGATTCCTTTTTCTCTTCTATTATTCCTTTTCTCCTTTCCTTTCTTTTCTTTCTTTTTCTTTCTTTCCTCTACTTCCCTTTTTTTCTTCTCTTCTCTTCCTTTATTTCCCTCTTATTTTCCCCTCCCCCTTTTCTATTTTTCCCGACTGCAGCGCAATTTTACAGACAATATCCTGACAGATGGGGGGTGTCGCACCCCCTCCCCCCACACACACACACACACCCGTTTAGCGACGCCCCTGGTTGTTATCCCATTATTCTGTTAAAAGAAATGCCATTCCTTATGCTCTTGCACCTCTCTTCTATCTTGTTTAATTCTCTTTCATTTTTCCTTTCTCCTTAAAGTCACAAAAATTCCCCCCTCTCCTTCCCCTTTTTCCCATCGCTTTTTGTTTTGTTCTTCTTGTGCTTTTTTTAGAGGGGGGCTGCACGCCTGGCAAAAGGGACCCATATTTTGCACACTGCAAAATTTTGTCCCCCCCCCCCCCACCCCTTTCCCGGTAAGAAAACATTCTTATAATATCATCCCCCTTTCTTTCTTTTCCCTTCTCATTATTCTCCTTTTCCCCTTTTTCTCTCCTCTGTCTTTCCCCTTTCTTCCTTTCCCCCTCCTTTTTCTCCTCTCCCCTTTTCTCTCCTCCCTCTTTTCTTCTTCATTCTCTCTTCCCTTTTCTTTCTTTTTCCCCTCCTTTTTCTTTCTCCCTCCTTCTTCTCTTTTCTCCCTTTTTCTTCCCCCCCTTCCCCCTTTTTTTACCAGGGGGGGGGACCGTGCCCCCTGCGCCCCCCACTGATTCCGCCACTGTTAATACCTTGAGGCATTACGTTTTGGGGATGTCTGTCCGTCCGTACGTCCCGTTCTCTTGATTGCGTTATCTCAAGAGGTGATTGACAGATTACTATCAAACTCAAGACATGTACCGAATCTTGCAGATATTTTGAGAACCTGTTAATGGATTTCGATCAAATTTGAACTTAAAATTCCTTTGCTTTGGTTTGTAAAATCGCTCTATGACGAAGGCATCACTTTTGACTGCGTGCAGTCGAAGATCCATCATGTTTTTTATTCATTTAGGCTGTTCCGAACCGCCGCAATACTTTCCATGTATAAAGCCATTCAATGCAATCATCAGAGAATATCTCTTTGAAGACTGAATCATTACCAAAAACCCTAACAGTGTTTACATCTTATGCCAACATTCATATAAATGCTGTTGTGGGCTATAACCTAAACACAGGAGATATTCAATAATCACAGAATTTGACATAATGTTCAGGTACAAATGATATTAATAGACATCCCATATATTATGCGCAAAACATGAGACCTATTGTTCTTGCCCCAAAACTAACCACACATGCAGGGGCGGCGATTTCTTTTCATGACCGGGGGGACGAAATGCGGGGAATGCGGGAGGAGTGACATAATGAGCAAAAACGTTTTTTGGGGGGAGCAAAAACGTTTTTTGGGGGGAGAAAAAAATCTGCATCATCACCGCTCTTACATGTTACATGCAGGCCCCGTTTTTCAAAGTGGGAGTGGGGGAGGAGGGACTAAAGTATTTGCGATCAGATAGAGGAAAGTACGTGGGGCATAATTTGGCGTGGGGTCCAGGGGCAGAACCCCATGAAGCTCAGAGTTTTTAGGCATTTAATAAGGGTCAGATGAGCATATTTTGATACCTTATTTGTGACACTTGCATGCAGGTCACTAATCGGAGAGGGGTCCAGGGGGCGAAGCCCCCAGAAGCTCATCGGTTTTAGGCATTAAATTACGATCAGATGAGTATCCAGGGGCCGCCTTAGGGCCCTTGATGGGGTCTAGGGGCGGAGCCCCTGGAAGCTAAGGGTTTTAGGCTTTTGAATATGGTCAGATGGGCATCTAATCTAGTGGCCCGCTTAGGGCCCTTGTGAGGTCCAGGGTGCGGAGCCCCGGAAGGTCAGGTGTTTTAGGCATTTAATTATGGTCAGCTGAGCAACCAGGGGCCCCGCCTTAGGGCCCTTGTTGGGAATAGGGGCGGAGCCCCTGGAAGCTAAGGGTTTTAGGCTTTTGAATATGGTCAGATAGGCATCTAATCTAGTGGCCCGCTTAGGGCCCTGGTGGGGTCCAGGGGGCGGAGCCCCGGAAGGTCAGGTGTTTTAGGCATTTAATTATGGTCAGCCGAGCAACCAGGGGCCCCGCCTTAGGGCCCTTGGTGGGGTATAGGGAGCAGAGCCCCCGGAAGCTCAGGAAAAATCATGCCATTTCAGCAACATTAATTTTGTAAATTAGTCACTGGTATCGAATTAGAAATAAACCACGTTTGAATTTTATCGGGAGGGGGGGGGACTGCCCCAAGCCTGAGTGAGTGAGCATAGTAAATGAGAGGGGTGAAGGTGACGAAAGTGACTACCCCTTCACAGGTTTTGAAGTTTTGTTGTGAAAACAAACAATCTACTTTTTCACACTTCACTTTTTTACAATATTTAATTGTATATTTTGAAGGATATTATGCGAGGGAGCATAGCTCCTGAGCCAGATGATTTTTGCACGTTTATTTGTCTAAACGCTGCACTCTTGGGCCCTCCAAAGCCTTATAGTGTGATGCAGTCTTTAGTCAGTATTTTGCTGTACATTATTTTGTTGCACTTTTTCAAATTTCCGGGGGGTCCCCCCATACAAAAATCGAGGGGGGGACGTGTCCCCCCCCCCCCCCCGTCCCCCCCCCCCCCCCCCCGGATCGCCGCCCCTGCACACATGATTAACTGAAATTGTATTGTTTTTGTTCTTTTCTTTAAGAAATTTCTTTAGAAATATCATTTACAAACAAAATTTACATTTATATTAAAATGTCCAAGGAGACAGAGGAGAAGCTCAAGCAAGATCCAGACACATTTGCTGAGTCTTTCAAGGCAATGTTGAAATCGTATGGGCAGCTGAAAACAAAAAACATCTTTATCCAGCCATCAGAATGTTTGGCCGATATGCATTAATCTTGACAGGTGCAAGGTTAAGCCCAAGGTAGCGGGAAAGCTACAAGTGTGTGGTACAAGCATTGGTGTGCAGCCCACAGCCATTGGACTAAGAAAATTGGGGGGAGGAGACGCTTGAAAGGGGGTCGACAGACCAAACAAGCAGCTGCTGTGGAACAGGGATATGCCAGAGCTTCCTCATCCTCTCAGCTTCCCTGTAAAAAGCATGCAGCTACACCACATTCCCTCAACCATGCTGTCACAATGTGCCAATCTCTAGGGAAGACACATAGTGCAAAATGATTCATATCAGTTCTAATGATGTGATCGCAAACTACTTTGCATACATAATGAGCCCTGCGACCTTTGACCTTAACCTTGTGACCCCAAAATCTTGTCAGTTTATTGGCTTTGTAAGATACATACATGGCCCAAGTTTGGCAGGAATCCATCAATCGGTTCTTGAGATAACATGATCACGAGAATGGACAGACGGATGGGCAGTCCGAAAACATAATACCTCTGGGCACTTTGCAGCTGAGGCATAAAAAATGTTGGTATTTATTTTGCTCTTGCAATTGGATATGAGAGCAGAAAACATTACGCGACACCAGTGCAGCATGAACGTACTGCCCACGGCCACGTAGCAACAACACCCATCGTCGACACATATGCAGTACATCATCATTATACAAGTACATTCGTACATCCATGTTTGAAATAAAGTCTGGACTCTTTGCGAGCTGTTTCATTGGGATTAATCGAGAAATTCCTCTCGCTAGCGTGTACAAAAAATATAGTATATAGCTGAACCTAGTTCATGGCCTAGTTCAAATATCCCGATAACCTGACTTTGAAAAAAATTAATATGCAGACTCTACCAAGACACTCTTTAAAAATTGATTATCGGTACCCTTTATGACTTCGCTCTTTGATGTATTCTCTCAAATTTAAACTTGGCAACATGCATCAAAACTGAGGGCTGCTACCGAGAGGGCACTGATGGTGACGACAGAGGAAAAACAAAATTGCAAGTCCCTTTCTCATCTAGGAGACTTACAGGACCATGGGCATGCAAAATCGAGAGTAGTGTTCTATTATATGAATACAGAGATTATGCAAACACAATGAAAATAATCAAGTAAAATTATAACTTCACAACTAGAAAGGCAGTTGCGTAATTTTATTTGATTTATTTGAGTCCATAAAATAGTTAGATTTTGAAAATGTAGAGACAAATAATTATAAAGCAGATTGCCATACCTTGGAACCACAGTTGGAGTGCCTTGTAAGGATTCAACACCTGGTACGGAAGACCTGTCAACATGTGAAATGGATGACACAAATTAATAACAATTTCATAAATAGGCAATATTCAGGGATTATCAAACCTTTCAGAAATTACTATGGTCAGCTAACAGTTCAAAATACACATAAATATGGACTTGCAAGAATTTTGTTTCCACCCAACAAGGCATGTATTATAAAACGGTAATAACTATGAAATACACTATAACAACAAGATAAACACTTCCAACAAAAATAAAGTACAATTATACATACATGCACACTGCTCCACAGCTTGATTCAGCAGAATTCCTGTCAGGAAGAGGTGGGAAGGTGGCAGGGGTTGAACTCATAAGAGGGTCAGAATGTGATGAAACGTGTCTGTAAGAAAAAGTGAATTCAAGATGAGATTACTTGCATAAACTTCATTACAGATATGAACTTTTTTGGACTTAATCACAACTCATGGAAATATCGAATTTTGGGAGAAGTGACTGATCTCTTTGTGCCACTGCACTTGGCAGTGTTGTAATGAATTGCATCTCTCCTATATATTTGAATGCAAGGGTTGAATGCGGTACGTAAATAATTCTGACTTTCTGACAACTAAAAAATTAAGTTCATTTCATTTTTTTGCAGTTGGAGTTGCAATTAATCACAAATCTTTCTGCTAGCTGGTAAAGGTAATAGCTATTAGTCACATATCCTGTAAGAGGTACTTTCACTACCCCCATCTAGTGCCCACAAAAGGGCACTAGCGCAATGACTTGGTTTTGAACCCGGTTCACCGGATAATGAGACTACTGCTCTACCGACTGAGCTATCGCGCCTCCTGGGCACTTGTCCTATGTAAAAAGGGCACTTTTTGGGTACTTGAAAAGGTGTACATGTTTACCTCATTTCAGGATCCACGGAAGCTGACGGCAAAGAAACATCTGATTGCTGGGTGGCCAATGAGGTCTGTTCTGGTCTGATTTCTGATGAGCCTGGTCTGAAAGATCAGAGAGTATAATTATAATTTCCATTATCAGCTGCAGTGTTTCCTTCTATTGAAAAAAGAGCTGCACTGTCAAACACACAACTACAGGTGCACTAACAAAAACAGTAGGTCTGTCAGAGGTAGCACCCGCCCCCCCCCCCCCCCACTTTTTCAAGTTCCCAAAAAATGCCCTTTTTACATAGGAAAAGAGCCCATTTAACTTTTAAAAATGCCCCTTCCCCTTTCCACCTCTGATAAGTGCCCCTTTTATTTAGACACGTACCCCCTTTCCTTTGACAAGTTCCCATTTTTCTTTGCAATAAGTGTCCATTTCCATTCTCGTAAGTGCCTTTTTAATCTCTAGTAAGTGCCCCTTTTCAGGTACAAGAAGGGCCCCTTTTTACTTTTGAAAAGTGCCCCTTTCACCTCTGATAATTACCCTACCCGTATTCGAATCTGAGAGGTGCCCCTTTTGCTTTGACAAGTGCATCTTTTCCTTTGTAAGAAGTGTTCTTTCCCCTTTTAATAACTACCCATATTTAACTTGGATAAGCGCACCTTATACTTTCACAGGTGCCCCCTTTCCTTTCTAATAAGTGCCCCTTTTCCTTATGACAGGTGCTCCCCTTCTCATAAATGCCCCTTTTCACCTATAAAAATAGTTCCTTTTCATTCTCATTAGTGACAGTGCCCCTTTTCATCTCTTCTAAATGACCTAACCGGTATTCAATTCTGAGAGATACTTGTTTTACTTTGACAAGTGCACCTTCCTTCCTGATAAGTGCTCTTTTCATCTCTAATAAATGCCCCTTTTATTTTGACACATTCCCAATTTCCTTCCTAATAAATGCTCTTTTTCTTTCTGATAGGTGCCCCTTTGATCCCCTTCTCACAATTACCCATTTTTATCTCTGATAAGTGCCCCGTTTATTTTAACATGTTCCTCTTTTTCTTTTTAATAAGAGCCGATTCCCCCCTTCTCATAAAAGCCCCCTTTCACCTCCAATAAATACCCCTATTAAAATCTGATCGGTGCCCCTTTTCTTTCAACAAATGCACATTTCTCTTTATCATTAGTGCTTCTTTTTCATTCTCATAAGTCATAAGTGCCTCTTTTCATGTATGGTCTGTGCCCCTTTTAACCTCTGATAATCACCCCTCTAACAATGATACATTCCCCTTTTCCTTTCTAATAAGGATCGAACCTACCCCTTTTTCACAAACGCCCCTATCAAAATCTGATGGGTGCCTCTTTTCTGTCGAAAAATGGCCATTCCCAAGTGCCTTTTTCATCCCTGGTGATCATGAGTGCCTCTCTTTTTAGGTGTAAGAAGTGCCCCATTTTCACCTCTGATATTAGCCTTTGTACTTTGACACATGCTCTTTTTCTTTTCTAATAAGTGTCCCCTATTCCTCTCATTTCTGACAAAAATGTTACTAAGACTGATGAGTATGCAAATGGCACTCAGATTCCTTGTGGTTGAATGGCTAGGTATATATTTACGTGTGGTAGTGTGTGCAAATGTAATGATAGTTATATTATTAGGGCCTACACCAGATCTGGCCTACAATAATTTAAAAACCTCCAGATATTTTACTCACTTTGAATCGAGCCCGAGGAGATTAGAGCCTTCCGCCGCATCCAGCAGCACCACGGCCAGATCACGGGGAGCAACATGCATTCGCTTGGCGAGCGCGAGCCATCGGTCGTGTACTTCCAACTCCAACAATAGAGCTTTATGATGAGTTCGGTAGTCCTTCTGCCTCTCCAATCTTCTCTGCCTTTTGATATTGCTTGGCACCGAAGGTCTCCCTATTTTTCTTTTGCCAGCAGTCATATCTATCCGATTTTGAGGGATCCGAGTACTACTTTCTCCGTTCTCCATATTGGTTGACTGTGTCGATCAAGGGAGATCCCCTGCATTTATATCGCGTACCTCGTACCGATGCCACTGTATGTACGGGGTGCGACTTTGCGTTTTACACCCTGGCCTGGACCTTTTCCCAATAAATTTCAAGGAACCGACTGGGAAAAGTCTATCCATGACAAGATATTGCGCGCGCACGTAGCTCTTCTGCAATGCTCAACGTACGTCTATTATGTCCAGTGTCGCGGTACGCGGTACATGTACTTTTGTATCGAGACGTACGAGTGAGAGAAAAACAACGAATAACAACAGAAGGAAATAGAGAAAAACAATAAATAATTAAAGAACAGAGAGGAAACAAAGAATGTCATAAGCAGAGAGAGAAAACAAAAACTAACTTGAAAGAAAGAGAGAAATTAGAGAAGGAATTAATCAAAGTAAGGAAAGAGAGAAACCAAATAATATTATGGTTTTTGTGGTTTAATTCCGCCTTCTTCAGGGTTTCAATTTTTGACGTGTAGCCTACTTTCAAACCATTTGCTGATTCGGACCCCCCCCCAACACACGTGTACACATATCGACACATACACAGACTACACTCGACATAATATGTGTAATGGTAATGTAATACATAAACTGTGATTTAAATATTGCACTCGTACCATTTTCTATTATTGTGGGATCACGTCTTTCATTTTTTAAATTCATGTCATTTGTTTCTAAGACCTAATTTCTCTAATTCTCTTGACCCCTCTCCCTTCATATTTGTTTTCTAAGACCTCCCCCCCCCCCCCTCATCTCTCTTCATATTTGTTTTCTAAGACCCATTTCTCCCCCGCCCCCCCCCCCCCATCTCTATTCATATTTGTTTTCTAAGACCTCTCTCTCGAGACCCACTCTCTCTCTCGTATGTATTTCTCAGACCCCTCTATTTCTTTCTCTCTCATTAACCCCCTCTTCATATTTGTTTCTAAGGCCTCTCTCTCTCTCTCTTCATATTTGTTTCTAAGACCCCCCCCCCCCCCCCTCTCTTTCTCATTTCTTGATATTTGTTTCTAAGACCTCTTTCTCTCTAGCTCTTAATTCATGATATTTGTTTCTAAGACCCCCTCTCTTTCTCACTTCTTGAATTCATATTTGTTTCTAAGACCTCTGTCTCTCTCTCCCTTTCTCTCTTTCTCATTTTAAATTCATGATATTTGTTTATAAGACCTCTCTTTCTCTCTTTTTCCATTCATCACTTTGTCTAGTGTAATGTACAGACACATAACATATAAAGGAAATTATACACCAGTTTTACATGAATTCATTTGCACTTTATTTACTGCTTTACATTCATATACTTTTTTTTTTCGTGAAGGTAATCTAATCCTTCAATGTCAGAGAAGTAATACAAAAGATACAGGAGTATGTGTATGCATAAATAGTTATATAAAGAAGAAATATGTAGTAAAAGTGAAAGCAAACAATAGTAGAAATTTGAACAGATAATTTGACAGTGTGTTAATGCAAGAAATGACTATAAGAAATTTTTATTTGAAAATACATGCACATGTAGATAAAAAGAGATCTGAACATAGGCGGATTCATGGGCGCAGAGGCGTGCACCGCACTTTACTTTGGAGATAACGAACTGAATACACATAATAATGGATGATACGTGAAAATATTGCATTGCCACTCCGTCATCATCCTCGATGAATTCCATCGTGCAGCAAGCTTCTTAACTTGTTGTTCTGAACTTGAAATCCTATATCTTCTCCCTTAATCTTCAGTATTGCAGCTGCGTACGGTGTGTATAAATGCTGCATCGACGTACGTCTGTGCATGTACGATTCGATTTGGAACTGGCGCGCCCGATCGAGGAGCGTAGACTAGACTCATTCAAGCAGTTTCATTGCTATTTACCGGGAAAATGTCCAGGCCAGGGTGTAAAACGCAAAGTCGCGTACGGGGTACCTGCACTGCACACACGTTCTACATGATCGAATCTCTTTGTATGTAAAATGAGACACAGAAAAGTCTGATCACGAATCGAATTAAACGAGCGCGCTCGCTTAATTCGATTCGACAACTGACGGTCGTTATTTTCACACAAAGGGAAGTTCTAAATTAGTTTTATCTTTCTATGCCATAGGAATTTAACTTTTCCATTTTTAGGCCTGCACAAAATATAATAATATATTCTGAACGTGCCCCTTCGAAATTGCATGGCTACAATAAAAAGTTAAATCTGTCTTCAATATCTGTAGTTTTTCTCTTTTTTTACTTGAAAAATAGTATTTTCATCAACATTTTTAGTATTGTTTTATTTCCTCTTAGACTGTGACTGAAGACTTGTTGTGCAAAAAACATATCAGATCGAGCCATGTATATATAGAGAGAGAGAAAGTGAAATAAAAGGACAGAGAGAAAGAAAGAGAGAGAGAGAGAGGAGGAGGAGAGGGGTGGAGGGGAGAAATGACGAGAAAAGTCAAGCACACCCCTCCCCCTCGCTTTTTATGGTCATATGTTTAATTATTAACAACCTCAAGAATGTTTCCCAACAATCCGTAGCATCATATGAACACACTCTTCAAATTTCTTCCAATCCTTTATTACGTAAGTCGTTCCTAATTTAATGCTCCCTTGTCAACATACTTTGTTGTCCTGCAAGTTATGTATGTTTCACCAAAACAAATAAGTTGTGCCTTACATACTGAATAACTCATGTAATGGTCACTCATACCATTATGGATCACTCCATAGGCCTACACGTTACTTTATCCGGAATCATTTTATTAGCATGTGAGCTACGAATGAACTGGTTCCTCTAGAAAAAATACTATCGTTGATTTTTTTTTTTTCAAACCATAAACATTATTAATTTGGTAGTAAATTTCTGTGTTACCTTGAAACGTTTAATTTTTCTTCTTCATAGGCCTACTATCACAATTCATGTATCACCCATCATGAAAAAATCAAATCCATTTTTAAAAAAATAAATAAAAAAAAATCGTCATGTCGGTCAAAAAGATTATTTGTGGAAGTAGGCGGCCTGTACCAGTTCAAAAATAATCTTGAATTCGATTTTTTAAATGTATTCGTATATGGATGATCCTTCTTAACCTGCAAGAGACTCATGAGCAATCATATTGCAGAGTTTGGTGTACATAAATCGCCACACCGCGGGAAAATGTGGTATGTAACTTTTGCATCTGAGACAGTATCGTCCAATGTAGTTTCATTTGCAGCAAGAACGTGTATTTCTTTATCATTCAAAATTTCTTTAATTTTTCATGATTTTTCAAATATTTGTTAAATATACAACAACAACAAATATACCTTTTTCCAGTTAATTGATCATATGCAGCAAGCTTATTTAAATATTATACGTATTCAATAGCATATTACTGTGTGATTTACTTGCTGCACATTCTGCATTTATATAATGTGAACTTGGTGATGAAAAAGACATGTTGTGCACTCCCAACAAAAAAGGCACGTTCTGGAGAAAAAAAGGGGCATCTTTAAAGGTACTATGTCCTATTTGCAGTCCCAAAAAATGAAAAAGTTAAATTCCAACTGCATTTGAAACATAATACTAATTTAGAACTTCCCTAAAAAAGGTGGGGCTTGAAAATGTCTTCAAGTGGGAAAATAACGACTATTAGTTGTCAAATCGGCTCTAGGGCTATAGAGCCCAAAAGTAATAGTCTTGATTTTCAGACAATTGTACCGAATGGTCATACGTTTTATGCTGCGCAAAGATTCAATCAGTTTAATCTTGGCCATCACAAGAAGTGGGTTATCGATGTAGACAAATGCTCATGTACCCTTTACAACTCTTTTCATGTATGTTATTACCAAAGAAGAAAGAAAGCCAGTCAGTCACTCAATAGTGTCTGACCGTGAAGTCTAGTAAGTAAACGGGTTTCCTTGCATAATTTGAATATGAGGACACTGCTAACGTTTAAATTTCACAGATAGGACATACATGACATATTCATAATTCCTGCAAAGTTCTACAGAATTTGAGGTTGGCTGCAAAAGGGACATAGTGCCTTTAAAGGAAAAAAACCTAAAAAGCAAAAATATACAATTTTTTACAAACATTGGTATACCCCTACAAGTGATTGCATTATCTGGAATGCTTTCAATATTTGTTTCTCTTTATACATCATACAAGATAATTGTTTAAGCGTCATACATTGCAGTTGGGTGTGATGATACGAATATGCATTTGCGAGCAAGCGAAGCGAGCGAGGAAAATTGTTAAGGTTTGTGAGGTGGTTCGATAAATTACAACTTATAAAGAGGGTAAAATCCAATCCTGAAAATTTTATAAGCACATTCTCATAACGGAAGACTGAAAAGATCTTTGATACTAAGTAACACTAATTAAAACATTTATACAAGCAAGGTGTGTGATGAAAAGAGGCTTTTTTAAGAAAGGGGAGTATATGGCTTTTATTAGAATATACGATTAAATGAGGTCGAATGTGTGCATTCCTATAGAATTACAAATATTGACAGAACAATTTTAAGTGAAATAATTAAGTTAAGTTTGAAAATGAATATTGCACAATAAATAAAATTTTCATTTTTTTGTAAAACCCCAAACAATATTACATTAGTTAATATGGAATGATACAAGGGAACAATATCACGATGTTAGGACTCTTTGAGGAACATATTTCAGTTTGTTAATAATTCCGATACTTCTTGATACAGTTTTACATTAAAGTATCAACATGCATGGCGGTTCCAGGAATGTCTGCCATCTATAAATATCCCTACAAATTTAGTACCATAAACTATATATTTTTTATTTCTATAGCTTAGGCATAAATGTTCGTCAATGACGGTTTTAGAACCAAATAATATATAATTGGTTAATTTTGTTTTATCAATGTCTACAAATTATTCTTTGCTTTTATCATGTTGCTGATATTGGTGAGTTGAACATTAACATAATTAAATAATTTGTTGGGATCAATGTTGGGATCAATTAAATGAAACAACATAATAATCGATTTGCCTGTAATCTGTGGGAGCTAGCTGGTGTAAAATATCATTTCTGCTCGTATCTAATTTCACAAACAGCAGACCATAATTAGCCCTAATAATTATATTCTAATAGTTAATCGTTTTCAAAAGTAAATTTGCCCAATTAACTTCATCATTGGCTTGTCATAAGCTATGGAGTTGCCAATTGTATTCTTACTTTTGATAAAGATTTTGTTTTCATCGTTATATCAAAATTTGAAGATTTTTTTTTTTTTTTAATAATAAAATAATTTTTTTTATTTTGAGTCTTAATAAATTAACAAAATATTTTTTAAATGCCATTATGTACAGCTTATCTAAAAGATTTAATAATTGAGTTGGGCGGAGCTAGACCCATAGCAACACGAAGCACACGTACTGTACTGTCGACCTTCTTTTCGCGACGGACAATAATTAGCCTTGAACTTCTTTTATTTAATGACATGGTTCATGATAAGTTAACTCTCCCACGCCATTGTTGCTGTCATCTTATTTAAACTTGTCTTTTGGGTAAGAATTATGAACATTTCTAGTTAGATTGCCTCTTGAATTTGCAAGTCTTACTCGCCGCGCCGGTTGCTATGACATGAGTGAACGCCAGGTAGCGGTATCGGCTTCGCCTTCGAGGTGTTTGATAAGGAGCCCTAGCGCCCTGAAACCAGGCTTAAGTATAACGCGCGCTAGTATTATAGACCTAGATTTAGGTCTAGTAGATGATTCGAAAAAAAACATTATCAAAAAAGTTTGTGTTTTTTAATTCTCAGAATGATTAACAACATTGTGTTGTTCCTGATAATATAAAAAGTAGGTCTAGAGTCTAGCCTCTAGGGTCTATGTTTGGTCAAAATTATCATTAGATCTAGATCTAGGTCTACAAATTTAGAAAGAATCTCCGTAAATTCAGAGTCGCATAAATTTTCATCAAAATTATATTTTTTGAGTCATAAGACTCGTAGTTATACCCATAACCAGCCCTAAGGGAAGTTTGTTCATGCCTGTAGACATCACATAGATCTAAATATTAAAAGAGAAAAATTTATCATCTTTGGCCTGCATTGCCTGGATTAAAATAAAAAAGCACATGATCATAATTTAAAGTTTCATTTTAATCATTGTAGCGGAAGCATCTTTGACTTTGTTTATTGATCGTTTCTTTATTGTTCCAATACACGTTGCTCCAAATGCTCCGTAAAAACTGCACAAATGAAAATAGATCGAACGGATCATTAATTAACTGTTCATCAATATACATATGCTTATAGAGAAAACCTGGTGACTCTTATCAATAATATACACCTTACAGCTAAATAACCCCTTGTTTTAACCTTTGTTTTAGCTCTTTTCCTAATCTCACACATTAACTTGTCCTGCATATAAACTAAATACAATTCTAACTGTTTGTTACTACCAGTACATGTATGCTTAATTGAACTAAGTCAGGCTTTCTGACATACATCCTTTGTATCACTTCTGTTCATAATTACAGCATGTATCTTTATAACTAAACCATCTATTAATTATCGATATAAACTTGTATAAATCATATAACAACTTTCCCATATTATGCACCCCAAGTACTCATCTTTGCACATTAACTCAAACTAGGCAAATCTTTGTTTACATTCTTTGGCGTGTACCTTTCAATCGCATGCCGTAGTGTACATTACATAACAATAACATTTGGTATGTGAGCCGACCGTCTCGGCTACCGTTCAATGTAAGTTACATCCATGTAATGTACACAGCGAGCTAGGTGCGTATGAAAGGTACGTAATCATAGAATATCGCATCAGTACAGCAATTATATATAACATTCATGACATTGCATCATTACATACCTTCATTCTGCCTTCTTAAAGTGCATCTAACTTCCATATTACACAAGGATGCCTCCAATATCAACATATTTTATCCACTGGAAATCAAAAAGGGTGCCATTTCTTCACACGAATTTAGTAGCCTCCAGATGGCGCTAAACATAAATATAATCAATCTACTTGATCGACTTAACAAAATGAATTCACATCGATCACTGAAACAATCATAGTCATATAGGTCTACTAGTGACAGTCTGCATCACTGTTAGTGTTGCTAACAGTGTTAGTGTTACTGCACATACTTTTTAATCTTAATATATGATACTTCTTTCTTCTTAAATCTCAGATCTTGACAACACTGATGTCTGAAGATGGCAGTTTCTTTGGGTAATATCAAAGCAAAGCGTACCCAAGCTGTTGCTCCAAGGAGTCTATTTGGTACCGTAATTGAAGTCGCGAATGAAGACGACATTCAACATGCCAAATCCCTACCAGTGCCCAAGAGGCGCATGAAGAAGGACAAGCTTGGCAACTACATGGCTCCAGACGCTAATGGCGTGCTAAAGAATGAACTTGCCGAGGTGGAGAGGCAAATGCATAAGGCTAGATTTGCAGAGAATGATCTCAAAGAGGCCTCTCATCTTGCTCTCACCTTTCATCCAAACCCTGACACCATTAAAACCGGTATCCCTGATGGAGCCCTATCTTTCAAACCAAAGAATCAGTATGCCCCATACAAGCAGGACATCAAGCTCCATTCTAGGGACATTTCACTGACAGAGCACTTCAACAAGCCGATGGGAATCGATGCGAACCAAGACTACAATTATGAGCGTTACCGCCGGCCATATACTAACGCTCAATTCCAGCAGGCAGGGACTATTCTTGGCAAAGGGGGTGCTTTCCCAAAGAAGGACGATGAATCAAAAAGCATGCGTGAAACTTTCCCTCCCACCACGAGACGTGTTCGAAAGACGCCTAGCCCAGGAATTCAGCCAGGGCAACGTGCGTTTCCTACCGACAGAATCCCGGACAACATTCGTTTCCTACATGGGGAGGAGCTGTGCAAGGAAGTGGCAAAGGAAAATGAGTTTCTGAGGAAGGCCACCCCTCCACCTAAGCGCATCCCTGGTCCCTTAATCACGGCCAAGTTTCCTCCAGTGAAGACGAGCATCTCCCTGGACACTGACCCCATGTATTCGGCCCTCGGCACGTCTTTGAAGCAGGACATCTTCAATGGTGTGCCGCACAGCCATGTGAAGAGTCTCTACAAGAGTTCTTTCACACAAGACATCCATAACAAGTCTGTGGAAGTCTTCCCTCCCAAGTTTGCTATACAGAGGAATCAAGACAGTAAGCACTTAAAATTTCATTTGTTTCAGTTTGATCTAGAAAAATTATATAATTGCTATCGTAAAAAAATAGATTGGTTGCATGTGGATGGCAAATCAATCACAAAAAAGACTTTACATGTAACATCAGCTGGTTACACCTCAAATGAGAGATGATATTACACTAGACAAGAACACATACTTTAATATATTCCATGACAGCCTCTATCAAAAGACCTGGGAAGGGATCCATTAGCTTTTAAAAAGCTTTTCTATAGACTTTGCTGTAATGGTGAATACTGTAACAAATATGTTTGATTATTTCCATTCTGTTTCTTTATCCAACTGTTGTTCTCATCTAATCTTTCACTAAAAACGATTCCCTTTTCCTCTACATGTAATGTAGTTTACTCTTTTAATTTTTTCCCTTTCTCTACTTTTTCCCATTTTTTCTCCTTTTCTTTTACTTTTATTCTATTTTTCCTCCTCTGTTTCTTTTGTTTCCCCTTTTCCACTTGTTTTTACTCTTTTTAAAGATTCTTTTCACTTTATATTTTTGTTATTTGTATTTTTCTTTCTTCCTCCCTTTCTTTTTTCTCACTATTTGTGTCTTTGTCTTCCTTTCTCTTTCTATGCCACTCTCTATTTGTTTATCTCCATACCCTGGCCCCTTCTAAAATTTTGATTCACACTTTGTAATTACCCTTGTCTTATATCTATCTACCTTGCAGGTAAATGGAACGAGGACGGTGTGATCAGGATGAAGCTTTACAAGGCTTGGGATGCCATGACGCTGGAGCGACTACAAGCCAAGGGAGGTGGAACTTAAGAAAACACATATCTTAACTAATCTAAATCATGATGAGCCATTGATCAATGATGATACATACAGGTACATAGAGGTGGGTATGTACATACAGTAATATACAGATTTCATTCGAGATATTTGTGCTGACGATAATAATTTAGACTATCAATATGATAATATAAATTTGTTACAAAAATCTTAATCCCATTACAAAACTAACATAAAATTTGATAAAGAATGATATCTTTTATGGACCCTAAGCCTTAAAATCAAAACTGACAATAAATTGCCATGGTTGCACATGTATAAGCATCATATCGTTCCTATTTTCACGAAATGACGGTAGTGAGGAAAATCTGCACGCAAATTGTATGCGATTTTCATTCACTACAGTCACTGCGTGAAAATAGGGACGATATGGTTCCATGTACATGTACATGTATACATGAATATGGTTGCACACTCAAGTAATTTGATATATTTATATAATCAGGTAACCTTATATGAAAAATTCAAAAATTCAAGATATTTTTCACCTTATGCAAATATGCTTGCATTATAATTGTATTTATATTGCAATTTGGAACAAAGTCTTGATGTGACCAAGGCTAAGAGATGACTTATTGGAGGTTTTGAGATGGGTGCACATTATATGTACATGTACATACAAGAATTGCTATCATGCACATGAAATTGGAACTGGGAGTTTTCTGAAAAACTCAAAAGGTGCTTGCCAAAAAAAATTGAATAGCTTTTCTACTTCCAAACAAACAATTTGATGTAATGTACAACAAAGCAACATCTTAAATTGTTCACTTTTCACAGTATTATGTGTAATTTGTTTGATGTATTACATTTCATCAGGAAGTACCCCCGCCCCGGGAATTACCAGTCCTCATGAATACATTTTTTTCTATGTGCTAAAATTGTATCAATTGACTATTTGTCCATATGTTAAAACTTTAAAAGAAAGAATGATACCTTTGTATAATTTTTTTTTTCTTTCTGAAAAAACACATTCAGATTTTTACATGTATTAGTTGTTCATATAAGACACCAGTATAATACCACTATTTAACTTTGTTTTATTATAACCATTTTTATTATTATTATTACCATTTATTATTATTATCATTGTTATTATTGTTGATGTTTTTATTGTTGTCTAATGAATGTTTGTAACAAACCATTGTATTGATGAAATTTCTCAGGGCATCTATTTTTTTTCTTCCGGCATGTGTTTATGGAATTGGAAATGTGTTTCAACCTAAGGAAAAGTAACACACACTGACAATAGAGGCACCAATTAATCCACAGAGTATATTCCCTATAATTATGAACCAAAGAGATCATGTTTTCCATTTTGATATCAAGAAGATGTGCCTAAAAGTGTGCAAATTTTCATTTGGTGATTATCTTGCACATTATGTAAAATTCATATCTTTGTGTTTAGTGTGAACAAATAAGGAATCATTGATGTGATATTTATTTTTAAGTATATCTGATAATGAGATGCATTGAAAAACATATTTTAGAATATGGATGTAAGATTGTATGTACATATATTTTTAGTTTGTTGAGACCCAGAAGGTGTCAACTCTCTGTAAAAATAATATTAGTTTCAGCCCTTCTGGCTCTCAGCAGATTTGTCTATTTTGATATGTGTGTGATCATGTGCTAGCTAATCTACTTTTATATAAAATGTAGGAACACAAGTTTTTTAGTTTTTATACAAAAAAATTCTTCAACAATCATGTCCACATCATTATGTATTTTGTATACGTAGCTATAGGTTTATATATTGCATATACGTGGTGCACTTAGATTGAGAAGAATTTGGTTGTGAAAACTATGATTGGTTACATCATCAAGGATCAAATTTTGCATTATGAAAGAAGTAGTTGTTAAAATTGTATTGGTGGCAGGCCCAAGTTGACTGTTAATTTTGAAATATAGAATTTGTAGATGATTTGATTAACCTTGTATCCTTGTGTTTAAGGTTTGAGAAAATGTTGCATATAACAAAAATTCTTAAAATAAACACAATGATAAATAATTTTTTCTTGAAGCTTTTTGTTTAAACATGTTAAGTATAGATGAATTTGTGCAAATTCATACCTGTAGACTTTCCAAATCAATTATGGTTATTCCCAAATGTTTATACACTCATAAGTGTTTGGATATGCACTTACATTTACATGCTGTATTGGTTAAGCACTTCATGTCTTACTTAATAGTTTAGACTTGTGAACTATTGTTCTCAGAAATCATGGGTACAGTATAATTGAGAACAAAAGATCATTGCTTCTCTGGAACTTAGAGATAGAATTGTAAAGCCATTTTAAATATACATGTATATATACATATATATATTTATATATATATATATATATATCTTGGTAAATTCCCCTTATTGAATGTTTATCTCTCTCTCTCTCTCTCTCTCTTTCTCTCCCTCTGTCTGTCTGTCTGCCTTTCTCTCTCTCTCTCTCTCTCTCTCTCTCTCTCCTCTCTCTCTCTCTCTCTCTCTCTCAATCTCTCTCTACCCAGATACGTGTTGTCTGTGCTCTATCACAGTGTGTGTCTACTGTATGATATGGAAGCAATGTATGTAAATATTTTTATTTCTAACACCGGAAGCAGTATTATCTTGCTTAATAAAAGATTGTACATATTTTGTATTTTATCAAACTTGAAGCAAGAAAGAAGTATAGCCTCTGTGTGTGTGTGTGCGTGTGTGTGTGTGTGTGGGTGTGTATGTGTGTGCGTGATGTATTTCTCTAAAGTTTACATTTTGAGCTTTTCATTTTCTTGATGAAAGATAAAAATCAAATGTACCATACACTTTCTTCGAGACACCTGTAAATTTATGGATCTTCGGTGACTGGCCCATTAGAAACTAGTGCTAAGCCAGTCACAGAGAATTTATAATTTCAACTGAAGCCTCTTAGTGCATAGTATATATTTTTTGTATAAATTCAAATTTCATTTGGAAACTTTCAATATTTGATCAATATGGTGAATGGGCATATGGTCTATGGTTGGAATGATGGATGCGGTGAAGAAAATACACAGACAAGAAAATAAAAGAAGGGAGATGCCAGAATTATGTCATTGACGATGATTCAAAGTTTGGATAAAAAATAATCAAACAATACGTTTTGAGGTCATATTTATTACAGTTTTAGACAGTTTTATCCACCAGCAAGCTGTTGGATGGAGAATGGGAGAGAGAGAGACACACACACACACACACACGCACACACTCCACCCCCCCCCCCCCCTCTCTCTCTCTCTGTCTCTCTCTCTCTGACTCTCTTTACGTTGGGCTTGCAATAACATCCATGCTATCTTGACTTGACGTTCATTTTCCTTTCCCGTATCTCTCTCTCTCTCTCTTTCTCTCTTTCTCTCTCTCTCTCTCTCTCTCTTCCTCTCTCTCTGTCTAACTGTCTCTCTATCTACCTCTCTCACATATCCACATACACGCACACAAACACAATCACACTCCACTCCCCCCCCCCCCCCTCTCTCTCTCTCTCTCTGACTCTCTTTACGTTTGGCTTGCAATAACAACTCCGATCTCTTGACTTTCATTTTCTCTTATTTCCCTTTCCTGTATCTGTGTGTGTGCGTGTGTGTGTGTGTGTACGTGCGTGCGTATTTTGGACAATGGTGTGAATTCATACTTGATCTCTGATGTATTTCTCTAAAGTTTACATTTTGAGCTTTTCATTTTCTTGATGAAAGATAAAAATCAAATGTACCATACACTTTCTTCGAGACACCTGTAAATTTATGGATTTTCGGTGACTGGCCCATCAGAAACTAGTGCTAAGCCAGTCACAGAGAATTTATAATTTCAACTGAAGCCTCTTAGTGCATAGTATATATTTTTTGTATAAATTCAAATTTCATTTGGAAACTTTCAATATTTGATCAATATGGTGAATGGGCATATGGTCTATGGATGGAATGATGGATGCGGTGAAGAAAATACACAGACAAGAAAATAAAAGAAGGGAGAGGCCAGAATTATGTCATTGACGATGATTCAAAGTTTGGATAAAAAATAATCAAACAATACGTTTTGTGGTCATATTTATTACAGTTTTAGACAGTTTTATCCACCAGCAAGCTGTAAACATTATAAACGTAAATACAAAAAACTTTTGAAGGACCTATATTGATGCTAAAAGTTTCAATATGGTTGTTATATTATGATATTTTACATGTAATTGTTATTTGTTTTACTTTTTATTACAGCTTAAATTAAATCATAAGACTTTTTATATTTGATTATTTGATAGTCCCATATAAGGACCACCTCCTTTTCTGACTGCTACCAGGCTAAGCAATCTTCCTTGTGTTTTTAACGATATTTATACATGTTTGTAAATTGATTTTTTTTTTTCCTTTCTTTCTGTGTTCAACTTTGTTAATAATTTTAATTGTGTGGTACTTGGTATACTGTTTTATTTTACCCGTATATTCGTTCATTGCTTGGCAAAATAAATTGAATTGAATTGAATTGAACACTATATTTAATTGCGGTGACTTTTCGGTTACGAGCAGATGGTCAAAGCAGGCTTTGATATTCTATAAAACTAGAAGCTATCTAGACAGTACTTCAACAGAAAGCTGGATAAAGACACTTCGTCACATCTACGAGAAATTATATCATCATCTCACCGAAGTCTACTCGAACACCGCATCGAAAGCAGGTAGGCCCAACATATCTTACATTATGTCTATTGCACATTAGACGTCTTTCTGACTGCGTCAGTTTGTAATTGTATTGATAATGATATCGATTATTTAGTAGCGCTAAAACAAAAAGTACCTTTTCGCCTACAAAGTAACAGAATGAAAAGAGAGAAACTTTAAACTCATAAATAGGTAAATCATACTTTTTTACTGAGGGAAGAAGAATGCTTTAAAGTTACTATGTCCCTTATGCAGCCAACATGAAATTCTGTAGAACTTTGCAGGAATTATGAATATGTCATATAAGTCCTATCTGTGAAATTTAAACGTTAGCAGTTTCCTAATATTCAAATTATGCAAGGAAACCCGTTTACTTGCTAGACTTCACTGTCAGACACTATTGAGTGACTGACTAGCTTTTTCTTATTTGGTAATAACATACATAAAATGAACTAAAGGGTACATGATCATTTGCCTACATCAATAACCCACTTTTTTTAATGGCCAAAAATAAACTGATTGAATCTTTGCGCAGCATAAAACATACGACCATTCGGTATAATGGTCTGAAAATCAGACTATTACTTACTGGCTCTATAGCTCTTAAGTCGGTTCGACAACTAATAGTCGTTATTTTTCCACTTAAAGACATTTTCAATTCCCCCCCCCCCCCCCCACCTCATTTTAGGGAAGTTCTAAATTAGTATTATCTTTCAAATGCCGTTGGAATTTAAACTTTTTATATTTTCTGGCCTGCAAATGGGACATAGTACCTTTAAGGGATCTTTTGAAAGTGGTATTACCCTTTTCTCTGTTTGAAGGGGGAAATTGTTCCACGTTTCGAAGCAGCCACTGTAAAATGTTTTTCGGTATAGTTGAGAGTCTGGAATTTGGGAATAATTAGTGTAAAGTCAGTTGTTGAGCGTAGGTCTGCATTTCTTATATGACATTTCTTCGCCTCTTGTGCAGCCGCGGGCTTAGTTCACAATAATCACGAGCTTTGCTTTGCAACTCTGACGGGTGAGATGTCCCAGTGATCTCGTAATCGGGAGTTCCCGGTTTCTGGATGTATAAAACATAAAACTCAAGGAGGGTGGGGTTAAGCTGTTAAGTGCAGTGCAGAAATGGGCCGGGAACATCCTCTTTCAATAGGGCATTCAAAACATCCTCAGTTGTTTGGTTTCAGAAAGCGAAGAATAGGGACTTTTAGATTTGCGTGGACTGTTAAAAGGACGTCACACGTAGCAGCCCACGTTGTCGTCGTGCAAATCTAAAAGTCCCTTAATAATGATTGAATGTAGACATTCTGAAGCCTTCCGCCTTGCATTTATCAGAACAAACCGCAATTCCCGTATTTTCTGGCAGCCTGTTGTCTCGAAGCCAGTTATTTTGGGCGCAATTAGTGAGGAAAATCGTCACGCAAAGTGAATGCAATTTTTTTTCACTACCGTCACTTCGTGAAAACAGCGACGAATTTATTGCTTCAGTTTCGTTATTAATAGTAAATATTGTTTGATTTGGGCTTTCTGTTCATTTTTGGTGCGTGTTAAAAGGAAAGTTTCAGTACGTCAATATTCTATGCCAACATTCTTAATTATGTAGCAATGTGACCATAGCTTTCAAACCCAAACAAGCTTTTTCAAAGGGGGGGGGGGGGGTTCTTATGCCAACTTTGAGTCAGAGGTGTTTAGTGAGACATTGCGAGGGGGAAATGACCACTTATTAACATATCCAGCCGGCGAATAAGCGGGGGGGGGGGGGGGGGGTAGTGAGCACTAAGTTTTGTTGTTGTTGTTCAACGGGGGGGGGGGGGGAGATGGAGCACCACTTTTTTTTTTAAGGGGTGGGGGGGGGGGGGGGGTTCGCGCGAGGCCTGGCTTTGACCAAATGATAAAAATGTATTCCATGTTTATTCTATTTTCCTTAGACTTTGAAAATGGCGTCAAAAACCATGATTACTCTCTACTTTCTGATTGCCTTGGCCGTGGCAGCAAGTGCGTTGAATGTCGAAGAGAACAGACCCGGCAAGAGAAGCAGTAAGCACTTCATTTCTAACGTTGTCAACCAACTAAACGAATACGATTACAAAACAACCGACCTAAAGCAATTTTAAGAGTCGTATTATAAGCTTGTGCGGTCACCTATTGAAATGCGCCAACATGGCATTGATGTTTCGACATAATCCGACCACATTTGAAGAAAGTTTGCGCTGACAAAATGATACTTTCTATCCATTTTTATCCTAGTTTTTGTGAGTTTTCGTGATAAATTTAGTTACTAGCCAAGTTTTGTTTGATTCGATTTGAATTGTTGATTTATTATTGTTTCGATCATTTTTCATTTTTTATTTTTGTATTGTTTTAGTCAAGGAAGATGAGATCGACATTTCTAATGCGTTGAATGTCGAGGAAAATGACAGAAAGAGCGGTAAGCAATTCATTTCTAATGTTGTCAACCAAATAAATGAATATGATTACAAACAACCGATCTATAATTCCAAAAGTCGTATAAAAATGATTGTGTGCCATGTGTGGTCACCTATTATTTAAAGAGATTTAAAGAGAGTTTGCACTTTTAGAAAGATACTTTCTATCACTTACTGGCCTTGCCGATGATATTGTGTGATAACTTTACATTTATAAAAGTTATTGTCCTATGGCGGACTAATGAATATTAATAAGTCTGAATGAATCAGGAGAGCTTGGGTATTTGTTTCTAGTTCATCGTGACTGTGCCATGGACCAGTGATGGCCTGGTGGTAGAGTCGCTGCCCGGCAAGCAGTAGATGCAGTCCCGCTGGTTCCAAGATTTTTCTGGCTTGTTATTCAATACAGATCGACCAATCGATCTTATTTACTGGGTGTAAGCCACAAATATGTTTAAATAAACAACCGAGTTTTATTTGATACAATTTTATTGATTTATTATTCTTTTGATCATTTTTTTTTTTTGTCTCTTTTCTTTGTACTGCAGATTGTAAAAACGTCGGTGGATTAATAGCGAAAAGACTAGGTTGTGATGGTAAGTCAAGCATGAGCAATATTTCCAAATCTAAAGCCCCAGTCCCATATAAAGCCGGACCAGCACGGACGAGCACGGACCACTCCGGACCATCCCGGACCATGGTCTGGGGTGATCCGGGATGGTCCGGGATGTTTTGTTCAAAAAAGTGTGATGCTTTTAAAGCTACAGTCCCATATACGTCCCGGACCGTCCCGGACCATCCCGGACCCCATCCGGGGTGATCCGGGATTCGGTCCGTGTTGACACCGTGTTGGCACCGGGGTGGTCCTGGATGGTCCTGGATGGTGCTGGATGGTCAATAACTCACTCCCGGACTGCCACGGATCAACACGGACCGCCCCGGCGCCACTACGGATGACCCCGGACCCAGCGCGGTGGCTACACGGATCACCCCGGATCAAACTATTGTCCCGGACCGTCCCGGACCACCCCGGCAGTTTTTGACCGTCAAAAACATCCGGGGTCGACTCCCGGACCGCCCAGGACCATCCAGGACCATCCAGGACCATCCAGGACCACCCCGGTGCCAACACGGTGTCAACACGGACCGAATCCCGGATCACCCCGGATGGGGTCCGGGATGGTCCGGGACGGTCCGGGACGTATATGGGACTGTAGCTTAAAGAAAAATGCAAAAGAAATAGAATGCTCCTTTTATGAATGATAACAATCCCCCTCTCCATTTTTCGATTCGACACCTTTATCACATATAGTCAGAAAAATGAGAAAAAAACTTGAAAAGTCGGCAACATATATTTATTTCGCTGTTATCTTTACTACCTCTGTTACCAGCCTCAAAATGATCAGCCATTTTTAACGTAATGATTAAGTTAATAATTAACGTAGATATATAACTCGTGGATGTGCAGTACAGACATATACAATTTTATTGGTAATATTTACGGTGGTCATGAACGCCGGCATTGTTATTATAAGTGAGTGTGTTGTTTTAAAGACTTCAAAGGAGTACTCAATAATCATGACACAAGAAGGCTTTTAAAGGTAAAGACCAGTATTGGAAACGCCCCAATTTCAAAAAAATGAAATGGAAGCTCTCATTACCAATCATGTGAAAGAATATGTTTTGACTAATACATGATGATAAAAAATTTGCCGGGAAACCGCCTACTAATTCATATATTTGGTAAATTTGTTTCTCTCATGGTCTGTGAGAGATATAGGGTAGTCCCATATACATCTTTCTGTGTATAGTGCTTGTAACTTTACGAAGAATGGGCCAAATTTCTTATCATTTTCATGATTCCAGAACCTTGCAGATGCTAGATGCTAGATGATCAACCTTTTCAGATCGATTCCACAACGTTTCTTTCACAATGCAATCGCATGACCATAACTGGTCTTTACCTTTAAGTGTGCATAATTTCGATCGAACAGAGTTGCATAAAACATTTTAAAAAATAACAGTATAAAGGGCATGTTTATTTCCTCCAAGTCAGGCTCGAATAACCGTCGTTGTCATTTGATTGATGATTTAACATTAGGAAGATTAAACAACTAAGCACGACATGGTAACTTCCTCTGTTTCAGGATTGCCTTTTCGTATAGAGGGCACGGAGTCGTTCTAATTACCTAAAGTTACTCATATTTGAGAGAATTGCCCAATCCGTATTTTTCCCATATGTATCTTCATAATTTTTAAAGGATTGGGTAAAATTTTACTCATAAGAGGGGAAGAAAGGAAGCATGCATGTTTATTGGGTAAGAGTTTACCAACACTGGATAATGTTCAACCAAGTTTGGGTACATTTTCATCCAACAAACATGCATATTCCCATTTTGACCTCTTATGTGCAAAATTGTACCCAACTCTACACTGCGTTAAGAGTGCACATTATACACCTCTTCATTATCCCGCTAGCAGAATCACACCATATCACATAACACTACTGTTTCTGAAATACATTCGGTGCATGCACATTGTCAGGATACAGCAACCAAATACCTTAGAATTTGTTGTAATATATTTAACAAATCTTTACATTTTCTCTTTTCTTTATTTCAACTGCAGGGTAAGAGTAGCATTGAGAAGTTCGAGAAGCATACTAGCTGGATCTTTTCCATGTGGTCAGACGTCTTCTCTGTTTGTTGAGACTTTTGTCAACTTGATGCGAGAAAAAAAAAACCATCGGTGATCAGTCATCACTGACGTTAACATTAGCCCAACCAATTCATAATTTTGCCTCTAAAATATATAAATACAATTTGAATCTCGTTTCAAATGTAAAGTATCAATACATGTAGCCCAATCAAGGGCGGATCCAGGGGGGCCCGGTTCCCCCTGGAAAAAACACGTATAAAACACGTTAATTTCACCTTTTTTCTGAGATGGACCCCCCCCCCTTGCCCTCAAGTGCAAATTTTCGAGGGCCCCCCCCCCCAAAAAAAAAAAATGTGCTCACTACCCCCCCCCCCCCCCCCCCCCACCCCTAAGAAATCCTCACTGGATCCGCGCCTGAGCCTAATATAGTTTTGTGTTGACAACAGGTTAGTCAACTCACTGGAAATTTGATTCTTTATACTGCATTGACGAGTACAATCTTGTACATGTGCTTCATGTGTAGATAAAACGTGCGAAGGAAACCATTGAGGGGTATACATTCATAAGTTGTATTGTCAAATTTTTAATCAGCTGCTTTATTCTCTGACACATTGTGCACAAAACTTTCTCATTAAATGGAATGACATAATAATAATCCTCCTCGGGTTAATTTACTTTTGTTCATGTTGTGAGAGGGGTAGAAGAGAGAGAGAGAGAAAGAGAGAAAAAAAAGAGAGAAAGAGAGAGGAGAAGAGATAGACAGGGAGCAGGCATATCAGAGAGGTAGAGAGACTGTAGAAAGCGTGTATCGAAGAGGATACAAGAGAGAGAGAGAGAGAGAGAGAGAAGAGAGGGGGGAATAGCCATGGAACAGGCATATAAATAGAGAGAGAGAGGGAGATTGGAGCAAGTCTGTGTAGAGGATACGAGAGAGAGAGAGAGAGAGAGAGAAAAAAACATACGGGCAGGGAGATCTATATCATGTTCAATTAAATACAAACATCTTCAGTAACTATATTAATACCCGTACATTGGTCTATCTCATTACGTTCTGATGATGATGATGATAATGGTTTCTTTGATCTGTTCAATGACGTAATCATCTAAAGTTATGAAACATAAAACTGTTGATAGTGTGAATTAAGCAGACATGACAACAACATTGTGTGTGTGTGCGTGTGTGTGTGTGTGTGTGTGCATAAAAAAAAAAAAAAAAAAAAAAAAAAAAATGTGTGGGTGCGTGCGTGTGTGTGTGTGTGTGTGCGTGTGTGTGTCTTTTGATTTATAGATGTAGAATTAAGTTTTAATCAATCTTATGCACAAATAAAGCATGTTGGCGATTTTCTTAGGGCCTTATGGTGATAACTACAAAACGGAGAAAGTATGGAAATTTTGAGATCAAGACCACCTTGTACGTTGCTCGTCTCTCTAAATTCTTGGGGGGGGGGGTGCTACAGTTCCCTAGCCTGCCCCTGTCTCTTGTTAGATACCATATTGTAATTTTGATGGGTCCAAGGGTATATATTTTATGCGATCATATCTGACAGAGAAAGATGGGGTATGGAGCTGGTTGAGAAAGCCGTATGAAAGAGAAATAAAGTAAAAGAGTTTGGGATATTCAATTTGAAGACGATAGTCTTTGTAGATGGTGGGGGGGGGGCAGTGATGTTTGCTAGGTGGGTGTTCATGATGCTATTGACTGTATGCTTCTGATAGGAGAGTAAAATATAGAGATATAAGAAATGTAGGTATGGATGGGGAACTAAATTAGAACTGGGCTCATATTCATAAAACAAGCATAGCTTGTCTACAAACTATGTACGATACCCTATGTAATTGGTCTTGACAATGCTACTATATTTAAAAGTAAGTCTTTATGAATATAGGCCCTGAAATTGTGGGTGATTAGGAACAAAAAAACTTAAAGGAGTGAGCGAAAATTTTGAAGGGAAAAGATTGTGCATTTTTATGTATAAGCCTACAAAGTAAAGCATACTGCAATTTTCTAAATATTATCACATAAGCCCATTTATACGGACACAACTCATTTGAAGATCCTTTCTTTTCATAGTGGGGTGGGGGGCATACAATCATATATGCTTTGATAATTTTTTTTTCTTCATTTTTGTGGGGGGGGGGGCACCTGGTGGCACCATAACTATATGGGAGGCACATGACCCCCCAGCCCCCGACCACCTCCAACCCAAGCCCCAGAGATGAGCTTGCTCATTATCACCAACTTGATCGTACATGTATAGTTTAATGTTCTTTCAACCATTTAAATTTAGAGCATATAAATGCATACCATTTAAAAGAACTTATAGATATAAAGTTAGAAGTTAAAATGTAAATGCTATTATAATACTTTGCTCAATAGAACAGAATAAGAGAATGCTGCATGTGTTTTTTTCTCTAGGCAATTGATACACCTATATAAGAGATATAAATACTGTATATAGTACTACAGTCTGTCGTTTATGGAGGTAACTATAATATTTTTTTTTAAAGAGAACATAGCAAGAAGTTATGCATATAAAGGGGAAAACGGGGACAACAGCAATAAAACAATAAAACGAAATTGTGATTTCACAAAGGAGTCTGATATTGATAAATTGTTGATTTCACATTGGACCCTCCCACAAGTGATAGGGTCCATGCAGGGAGATGTGATACTCCATGGGGCCTGGTCCATATTTTCACCAACAGTAGGCTACTGTACTCTCTCGACTGAGCCATGAAAGCCACGCCCCCAACATCTGACACATGTAAGAAAGTTTATTGAACCCGGAAGTTTATAACAACATGCAACGCGATCTCATCACTCTCGGCTCTTGAAATTTGAATGATGTTCTATCATAGATTTGTTTTTCATAATCAACTAGCTTATTTGCTTCATCTAAAATGGACGGAAGTAAGAGTAAACTTATCAACAGCTTATCCAAACTGAAGGCAGACGCTGTCAAAGCTGGGTTGACCTTGGCCGAAGTGGAACATGTTTTGTTAGCGAAATGCAGCGATTCAGCCAAACGCGAGGGGCATGCCTCTTCTCTTGCCGCCAAGGGTTCTGGCGACCACGCTTATGGGAATTCGGCTGGATCTCGTAGCCTTCCGTCAGCTCTCATCACCGTATTCCTCCGTTTTCTAACACCGTTGCTGCTTTGTTCGGCGGGTGCCCTGTCGTGCCTTCATTACTTTGGACATCTCAGCAGTTTGACTGGCATTCTCACAGAAAACCCATGCTTATTGGAAGCAAACCTCCTGCTAGTGGAAATTTCAAGACCCATCGAAAAATGCGATTTCTGCGAAGGGCTCACATCCTTCCCAACCTACAGAGACATCTCCCGCGAGGATTATCTGGACATACATGCCTACACCGGTCGACCAGCCCTTATTCAAGAAGGAGGGACCAAAAATTGGACCGCTCCGGATGTTTTCAGCGTCAAGTTCTTCCAAAATTTGTACAAGGATAACGAAAGGGCGTTAGAGGCGCAGGAGAATTGCCAGTTCTTCCCGTATAAGTCTGGAATCGAGTCATTTGAGGAATTTCTGAACATGTCTGATGAGAAAGCTGACTTCAAGGAGGAGCCGTGGTATGTTGGATGGTGAGTACTACAAGATCTGAACCCTTTAATTTGTTGTATCGCATATCATTATAATGATATCATTGTTGTGATAATGAAAATAAAGTAAGATTTTATTGACTCTATATCGACCCCCCTCTCGGGAAATGAGAGTACAAACATATTTCAAACGTACTATCAATGAAACAATAGAATATAACAGGGATAAACATGTGATAATATGAATGATAAACATAATTATGTTATCAGTGTTGTGAACCATAGGCGCCGGAAGTGGGGGGGCAGGGGGGCAGTTGCCCCCCCAGTCAAAAAAGTGGGGGGGCAAAACGCATTTTTGCCCCCCAAAAACGCCCCCCCCCCCCCCCCTCCAAAAAAAAAAAAAAAAGCAGTAAAGGAATAAACATGGTTTGTATTTTTAACCCAAAAGAACATAACAATAATAAAAACCTGAATTAAAGCACATATACCATTCCATTCAAAGAAAAGGAAAGTTCACAGGAATTAAATTTTTATAAACATTGCGCATGCTACCTATACGGTTTATAATAGCGATACGCGCATATCGTGGACATATTGTGCGAGAATGGGAAAACGTGTCTGTTTTTTTGGTTTTGTTATAGGGGTGAGAAGACATGAGCCCCTGAACGCTGGCGTACTGATGGGGGGGGGGGGGGTATATCTATACGATACCAGTGATTTACACATGTTGCTGTTATGACATGATTTTCCGGTATTTTTTCTCCATTTTTTTTTAAGTCATACCTTTTTATGCGTTTGTTGGAAAATAAGAAATTCCCAAATTACAGTCGGGCGAAAAATACGCTTATTTAGAAGCCTTTATGACATGGTCTGCAAAGTGGCTGGGCTCGAGCCCCTCCCCCCTCACTTTTTGAAAAAGTATGTTAAAGAGAAAAAGAAAGAAAGACGGAGAGAAAAAATAAGTGACCTGCCAATGTCACAAATAAGGCATAAAAAATGCTCATCTGACCGTAATTAAATGCCTAAAACCCCAGAGCTTCCGGGGGCTCTGCCCCCTGGACCCCACCAAGGGCTCTAAGGCGGGCCCCTGGATGCTCATCTGACCGTAATTAAATACCTAAAACCCCTGAGCTTCCGGGGGCTCTGCCCCCTGGACCCCACCAAGGGCCCTATAAGGCGGGCCCCTGGATGCTCATCTGACCATTATTAAATACCTAAAACCCCTGAGCTTCCGGGGGCTCTGCCCCCTGGACCCCACCAAGGGCCCTATAAGGCGGGCCCCTGGATGCTCATCTGACCATTATTCAATACCTAAAACCCCTGAGCTTCCGGGGGCCCTGCCCCCTGGACCCCACCAAGTGCCCTAGGGCGGCCCCTGGTTGCTCATCTGACCGTAGTTAAATACCTAAAACCCCTGAGCTCCCGGGGGCTCTGCCCCCTAGACCCCACCAAGGGCCCTATAAGGCGGGCCCCTGGATGCTCATCTGACCATTATTAAATACCTAAAACCCCTGAGCTTCCGGGGGCTCTGCCCCCTGGACCCCACCAAGGGCCCTATAAGGCGGGCCCCTGGATGCTCATCTGACCATTATTCAATACCTAAAACCCCTGAGCTTCCGGGGGCCCTGCCCCTGGACCCCACCAAGTGCCCTAGGGCGGCCCCTGGTTGCTCATCTGACCGTAGTTAAATATTAAAACCTCTGAGCTTCTGGGGGCTCCCCCCCCCCCCCCTCTGGAACACGTCAATGGCCTTAAAGAGGCCCCTGGATGCTCATCTAACCGTAATTAAATACCTAAAATCCCTGAGCTTCCGGGGGCTCAGCCCCTTGACACCCTGCCGAGGCTGGACCCCACGCCAATTTACGCTCTACCTGATCGTTAATACTTCACTTTGAAAAACGTTCCGCGGGACCTGCATGTAACGTGTAAGACTGGTGGTGATGCAGATTTTTCGTCTGCCCCCCCCCCTTCCGAACGTTTTTTCTCATTACGTCACTGCCCTCGGAAGGTGAGCCCCCTGGAATGTTTGCCCCCCCCCCCCCAATCCCAAACTGCTTCCGGCGCGCCTGTTGTGAACAAAATGATATTGAACTGTTTATGACATCTCAACATCTCAATTTTATTTACCATTAAAGTTGCGAATCACTCAATTTTAATTTCATAATTTAAGCCTCTTTATGAAGAATCAGAAGAGTATTTCCGACTGCCTGTCGAAACAGACAGTGTGCATATTCCTTTCAATTAAGTTTGATAATGGCTGTATACGTAGTGTGATATCAAGTATTGAATAATAAATTGTAATTTTCTTTCATTATTATGTGATGTTTCAAATATTATAAAAGAAGTATTCTCGGTCCTAAGATATTTAGTAATAATAGAATTTACGAGGAAAGGGGTGTACACTTATCACACGTGTTTTAAACACATGAGTGAGAATGATCTTTGTTTTACTCCTCTTTTTAAAACTTTTTCCAGCACACAAAGTAAGTATATAGTTCTAACAAAAGTTGCAATACTTATCATCTCTAACGTGCGAATTTTGTTGTTGTTGTTCTTGTTGTGATATTAGCGTTCACGGGTAAATATACCTGTACTTTATATTAATACTAATAGCTATACCTTTGTCCTCATCATTTTGTATATTTCATATTTTGATGCCAATTCAATGATTATTTTGAATGCGTGAATCATAAACCTTATGGCAGTAGACCACTTCACGGTTAGCACATTAATTACTGCAATGACCTCGAATATCCACAGATCTTCAAAACATGAAGAAGTCCCACTTTGTACATTTGGAAATAATCACTCCTACAGCGATGCAGGTGCTACATAAATAGCCTTTGTTTCCCTTTTCAAAGAATACCTGTGTGCCATGGAGTGCACTGCTTGTGCATAAATTAATACATAACTTTCATGAGCATGTATCCAGTATTTCGTCTCCGTGTATTTCACAATTTGTTCTGCAATGACCTTTATCTGCTCATGCTCAGACTGCAAACGTGAACTGGCTTATATTAGCTTAAATGGTCCATCCGTATTTAAAATATGTGCGAATATTACAATAATCCGTACACGATTTCTATAAGACATACAATAGCATTGGAATTGCCCACGATTTATTTTTTTTCATAAATAAAAATACTATATAAATTATTGCAATGGAAACAAAATATGAAGTCTTCTTGTTATTAATACATTCATGTGAAAAAATACATTGTTATCTTTTAATTTTAGAAATGAAATTATAGGAATGTATTGTGGAGAATACATTTGTTCTGAGAAGAAACATAATGGGTTTTTTAAAGGGGAAAAAGAGAAAGAAATTTAAAGCCCTAGAATCTAAGGAATAATAATAATAATAATGGGTTCTTGTATCTATAGCGCTCATGTCTGTCAGACCCGACACTCCTGGCGCTCCCGATTATTACCCTGGTTTTATCACGGCTGCCGTTACGGCGCTCTATAGCATTTCAAGGAATTAATTCCTGCCAGGTACCCAAATGTAGATCAATGTCTTGATGAAAGGAATTAATTTCCCTAACCTTACTGCAGAAAACCTACACCATCCCACCCCACCCCTCCCGCCCGATTTTGCGACAGTAGTTGCGATCGATTTTATTTTTTAAATATTTTTTTCATTTTTAGGAGTAACTGTGATACTGTGATCGCAGCCGAGCTTAGAAGACACTACACCCTGCCTCACTTTCTTCCCGAGGGTTCCGAGTCCAGTATCACAGACTGGATCTTTATTGGAGGACCTGGACACGGGGCAAATGTTCATGTGAGCAAACCTTCTCAACTTTGTAGGAAATAAAAGAACATGAAAGGGCGTCGCTGGGATGAGCATCTTAAGTCAGTATTTAAGTCTTGCACAGTTTGCAGATATTGGCAAGTTTGTAAATTTTATGGCCTTTTTTCTGAACCCATGTCACCCTGCCTTAGCAAATGTTGTAATCTGAGGAACCTTGTAATTATGTTTGCCCTTCTATCATGATTAGTTTTTCTATCGGTAAACTTGTCGTCATTTTTTCACAAGGCTCCAAATTGCTGTATCTTATTTTGGGGGCAACACATGATTTCGTGTAAAGCTGTATATTGCCTCACTGTCTATACATATGCGTCAAAATGCATTATTGCTTTTAAATAGTATCTCGTAATCGGTATCTCAGTATGATTGCCATTGTATGTTTGATTAGGTTGTTTAAAGATTCTAACTTGTCCCTGTTTGATTGTTACTGTCTCTGACGCCTTTTTTTCTCCATCTGTTTATTCTTTGCTCTGTTACGTAATTATCTGCACCTTTTCTACTCCTATCATTCTTCTACACACCCCCTCTATTCCCTCTTTATCAGTCTACCTTTTAAAAACTAAATTCTACCCCTTCTTTAGCTGTTCCATCTCTCTCTCTCTCTCTCTCTGTCTCACTTACTCTCTCACTATCTCCCTGCATGTCTTAGCTCTCCTTCTCTTTTCTATGCTCTCGTTCTGTCTCTTCTGAGTACGTCTATATATGTAGCATCCTTAACCCCATTCACGATGTGTTGTTTTCCTCCAAATTAGAGGACTACTTGACTGTATATTGTTTGTTGTAACTTAATTGAAATAGGCTCCAAACTTCACACTCCCTCCTTCTATCTCCACCCGCTCATATTCACCATTTTAGATTGATAGTGTGGACAGACCCTCGTGGCAGGCTCAAATCCGTGGCTCCAAGACCTGGACCCTCATCCCTCCACCAGAGTGTGAACACGTCTGTCATGAAATCAATGCTACCATGGTCAAAGGAAGTGTCAGTAAGTACCCACAATCCCGTTTTTATTCAATACTCAAACACATAGAATGAAAATCGAAGTTTTTGATACAAGCTTATATTCTCTTACATCTTCCTGCTTATATGTACATAATAAGGATGTGGCGATAGCGGTAGGGTAACCCAAACTATCATTACAAATTTGCTTTGCCCATCTAAATAGCTAGACTTTGAAGGAAAAATTTGTCTTCTGATTAATTGGATCTCAATACCTACCGACTATGACGACGGTATACACATATAGCAAGGGGAAAAGAATTTGGAATATCGCTTTGTTCCCGAGGAATATCATGAGTTTGTCATATAACGTAAATGAGACACCATTATGGCGTGAATAGACATCGAGTCAATGGACGGTTATAAACTTTCGAAAAGAAGATGAAAACCCAACAGGGATTTTATTGTGATTAATCATATTAATACAACACAGTCGTGGTTTCCAACTAATTGTTAATGGTTAGCAACCAATGCCTAACACTCGAGTATAATATTGCATGACTTATTTATATAAATTTATCTATTTGATATTTCAATTTGATGTTAATATCTTTATTGCCTTTTAATTTATTTTTTGATCTTGCAGTTGTGGTAGACACCAACAGATGGTATCACAAGACGGATATCCACCCAGGCGGTATCAGTATCACCATCGGTTCGGAGTACGATTAACCGAATCTGTCTGTCTATCTTCTTTCCTTTCGGCGATGACGAGCTAGGTTGACGGCAAGTTTCTCCTGCTGAACATTGTGATTCTTTGTTCTAGCTCTTTCGTAAAACATTGTGAGTGCTAAACCATCAAAATAATGGACAATCCTTGTTGCTTTCTTTCGTCAGAAGAACGCTGTCATAATAAACACCACGGAAACAAAATAATAATTACATCTAGCTACGCTACTGGAGATTTTGTCATCGAACTGAATACTTGAAAATCAATTTGTACTGTTTCGGGCCATTTTTGTCGGCGCTCGGAGAGACATTCCTGACCAATGCGCGATTTCATTCCTTGGATTCTGCCTCTGAAAATGAGGTATAAACAACTGGGTCGTTCGTGCTCGGTTTGAGTATCATTAATTCTTAACGATGACGTCCTCTAGTATGTGCAAAGTAAAAGTAAAAAGGGGGAAAACATTTTAGAGTCGTGATAGATTAACGACATTATTGACTTCCTTATTAACTTCCTTTACCGCCGTCACCCTCAACACACAAACTCTACAACTTCTGACAGCGGATTTCAGAGACCGTGTCGTGGTCGCCATGTTGTCGAAGATTCATTCAACTTCCGTTAGAATCAATGAAAAATAATAAGTTGATACTAATCCTAAGTCAGGCCTAGTGTGGGGGTCAATATTTGACCCCGATCAATCGATGTATACATATATATGTATATACATGTACAGATATTATGTGTATATTTTCTTTCATGTCATAATGACAAACAGGTGTTTGTGTTTTGTCTTTACGGAATAGCATAAAGAAATAATTTACATCACCAATCGGACGAACCTTTTCAGTGCCTAGCTTGTCATAAAGCAAAGTGCCCATTTCAACAAACAACCCAAAGCATATAAAATGTAAAGTATAACATTCATAAGCTTACCTATTATTTGAAAAATATGATTCAATGTCATCTCATGAACATTTTGTATATTTACTAAAGTCAATATGTTATTGGCTATTCTACAGATTCTATTGAATAAACAGTACTACTTGTAGTTTCTTAAAGTAATTTCGTGAAAAGTGCTAATTTTTTTAATCAAGTTGAGGTTCTTCACATTCCAAGCAAGGAGGAGAAGAAGGTCTGGAAGAAGGAAAAAATAGAAAATCATGATGATAGGGAGGAGAAGAAGGAGGAGATGGAGGTGGGTAAGAAGGAGGAGGAGGAGGGATGTGAGGAGATGAAGGAGGAGAGTAAGAGGAGCTTTGTGGTTGATTGGAGGGAGCAAAAGGGGGCGAGGGAGAGGGTGACGATGTATGGGAAATATAGGCTGGAGAAGAGGGTCCAGAAGGAGAACTGGAGGTTTGGGGAGGAGGAGACTTAGGAGGAGAATTAGGAAGATAAAGAGAAAATGGAGGAGGAGAGTTAGCAATCTGTGGAGGAGAGCGATTACGTGAGGTGGGAGATGGAGGGGGTGGAACTATCTCTAGTTCCATGTTTTCAACTAAGACCACTCCATCAATCTTCTTGTTCTTCCGACTCCCGACGTCTCCGAGTCCTCTCATGCTCGGTCGCGGGACTGGCGACAACTTAATCAGCCCACAACATGTGCAACACGCGATGTAGCACATGCCGCAGTACGTGCAACATCCCAAACTCTTCGCGCCACCGCTACAAGCGAACTTTTCTCGGGTGTGCTTACTGAAAGTCGGATGCAACGCAACGTAGACAATCGGCTGCAGGCTTGCCGTCAAAATGGCTGCCGTCTCACTCAACTGCGTGGCTACAAAGATGGCGATGTTGCCAAAGGGTATGGACAGGTAGATGATCATTTTGGTGATGTAACGCGCGCCGAAGTTAAACGTGTAGAGCAGAATGATGACGAGGATACTACGCAGGACCTGCTGATCGTGGTAGAGCCGGTATTCCTCCGGCGTACGCGTCACCATTACGCCATCCCTCTTGACGCGCATGGAAGCGCCGCCTCGCCTTCGAAGCTTGCGTCTGATGGCGAAGTAGACGACGGTGATGACGCTCAGGGGAATGATGTAGGAGACGACAAACGAGATGGCCATGGCGACTTTGAAGCTCGATTCGGAGATGTCGTAGGTACCGTTGGTGATGTCAACGCTGTAGAAGATGGGTGCACATACTGCCAAAGAAGCTGGATAGAGAAAATATAAGAAAGAAACAAATGACGAGAATAATTATTACGATAGTCACGGAACAAAAACGAACAAAGGACAAAAGCGAAAGTCTAATTCGGCAGTAAATTGGCACTGCATAAGAAATTACATTGTGGTATGATGTTATTGCGAACAAAATCATTATGGATACAAACAGGTGTAAGGAGAGAACTTGATCAAGCAAAGGAAATAAATATTTCGTTAGAGCCAAAGTAATTCTGAAACTGTCTGAGACGGCCAGTTGTCGGGAAAATTTGACGAAAGAAAAGCACTAATACAACTTTGTATGACGAGAGTGAAAAGAAATCTTAAATTTTGGAAACTTGTCGATCGTCATTTTGAGAAGAGGCCTATAATTTCGGTCTCGTGGACTTTCGGTCAAACGGCCTGCGTCCTCATGAAGCCAACTGTACAGATGCTAGCCTCTTACTTACCAATCCAAACGAGGGTGCATATGCCTGTAGTAATCTTCACCTTGGAATACTTGGCCAATTTCTTCGGATCGACGCTGATGGCAACGTAACGATCGACGGAGAGGGCCGTTAACATGGAAACGTCACAGTTGGTTATGACCTGAAGAAGAAGGAAAAGGAAGATTGTAATTTAAGGGGGAAGTTCGTTCTAGATGTAGAGGTCGAATAGTTACAGGTGATTTTCAGTCACAAATAAATAAACGTTACCGTCGTAGCCCCAGAAGAAGAAAAAAGAGGAGAAAATTAATACATACTTTTTAAAATACTTTTTTTAGAAACAGTGCGCGCCTCGGATTGCAGGAGTGCCTTGAGCATTTTGTGAATGGGGGAGGGGGGGGGGTGACAACCCGTAAAACCTCACCCCTGTTCATCTTTTTCTTGATACGCTATTGCATTTATCAGAAATTTTTCATATCAAGTCCTAAAGTAGGTCTATGTTTTCAGGAATTTATACCTATAACAAGGGTACTGCAGTACTATGGTGCTTAAATTGTCGTATTTATATTTGACTGATATAACAAAGAACAAGGCATAGCCTGCTGTTCATTATGATAATCAACTGTAAATGTAACACATGTACTTCGATATTCATACTCTAATAAAATCTCATTCCTAATTAAAGGTGAGTCTGATACCCTATACTAAGTGGAAATGGATTAAACAAATACATTCAGAATGTAAATTTAAACTTACGAGACTTATGTAGAGGTGGATGGATGACGGTATTATACTGCTATGGACTATATCACGAGTCGTCAACACGTAATCGTAGACGTCGGTAGCACCGATGACGACCAGGTAGATGAGATGAGTCACGCTCAGGTTGGTCATGAAGAGATTCGAGAATGTCCTCATGTCTTTCCGGACGATGATGGTGTAGACGATGTAGACGTTTGCTACTAGTCCGGTGATGATGAGGATCATGAGAATGGGAGAGAGGATGCTTTCGAAGTTGACGACCCAATCGCATTCGTCGACCGTGTAGCCCGAGCCGCAGATCGACTCCGACGTCGTGGTGTTGGTGCCTAGTGCGGTGCCGTAGTAGGATGTTGTCGCCGAGACGTTTGCCAACAGCGTGGTCATTTTCTTTACTGGTTCTTTAGTGGGAACCATTGTTGTCGAATTGAATTTCGGTATCGGTAAGACAGAGCTATTCAAAGTGCTCACCGTTGAGAAGATAGAGGTTGAAACCTTTTGGACCACTGGCTTTGCTGTGGTCATACCCGTGGTTATGGCGGTCATTATTGATTCAGTAATCGGTTTTTCAGTCACTTTGTCAACCATCCCTGTATCTACAGCTCCTACCGCAGGCCTAGCAAAAGCGGTATCAAGATTATCGGAGATGGTGTTCCGAAAGAAATCGGTGATGTTCGGGAAGACATCAGTGATATTCGGAAGAGAACCATCTGTGTTAGGGAAGTATTCTGTGATGTTGGGAAAAGAGCTATCTATGTTAGGGAAGTAGTTAGTGATGTTCGGTAGGAAATCGGCTATGTTCGGCAATAAGTTTGCGACAATCGACGCGGAATCAGCTATGTTCGGCACAGAGTTTGCTGCATTCGACGCGGAATCAGCTATGTTCGGAAAGGTATCGGTAATGTTCGACACAAATCCAGCAATGTTCGTCAAATGATCGACTTCTGCATCTAGAGCTGGAAGCTCATTATTGGTCTGCATAGTATCTTCTGGAATATAGTCTGGCTCCATTATCATGCTGCTGCTTATAACGAATATTTTCGAAATAAAACAAAATTATTGGGTTATCCACTTCTGTGCCGTATCGTTATGGCAACAATATTTGAAAGATGAAACGGCAATAATTGCGTCCTATGTCTCCTCCTGTACTCGATAGGAGGATGAAGCTGCCCTGTCAACCGTGCAATGAAACCAAAAATGAGCGGAGGAATCCGTGTCCGAGGCAGACGGGTGACCGAACATACCAAAAAGTGAGGAAACAGATTGTTGCAGGCCGGCCAGCTGTGGGTACCGGTAGATTTGACAAGTTTACCTAATACGCGTCCTACTCTGTCACCATTCAATCATGTGTCATCCATACGAGGTAAAGAGGTATTTTGATATCGGTCGGTATGCTCTTGTGTGTCATGATTGATGAATGTCAAAGACAAGTGGGTTAAAGTATGATGAGAGAGAGAGAGAGTGTGTGTGTGTGAAAAATAGCAACAGAATTGTTTTCGCGACATAATTTTTGTTCAACGAAAGTGGAAGGAATGGAAAGAGGGAAGGAAAAAGAGAGACATAAAAGAAGAAGGAAAGATAGATAGATAGAGAGATAGAGAGAGAGAGAGAGAGAGAGAGAGAGAAGGGGCGAAGAGAGAGAGAGAGAGCGCGAGGTGGTAACTATGATGAATGAAGAGAGAAACAGAAGATGTTCTGAGATATTTGCGTCATAATCAGCGCGAGAGAATAAAATGAGAAGCGGACAGAGAAAGAGATGTAGCCAAAATAGTGAAAGGAGGAGGAAGAGTTAGGAGAGATAGAATGTGTGTTGATAGATGCAGAGAAAGGGAGAGAGAGCGAAAGAGTATATTAAGGGGTAGATTGAATATGACCTAACAACATAAAATAGTAGGAGAGAAAAATGTTATGGGAAGAAGGGAACTAAAAGAAAAACGTGGAAAGAGCAATTGTGAGAAGACTGGTATTTTATAAGCGCAAAGGTTGTTACCATTTAGCATGGCGCAATTGGTGATTACACAGTAAAAAATAAAATGTTTCAAAGGAAGGAAAGAACCCCAAAATATGTTTTTTTTAATGTCCTTTTCAATCACCTGTATGTTTTTATACCGAAAATAAAACCAAACGTAACAAAACAGCTATCTATCATAACGAAAGGTTGTTTGTAATTCTGTTTATTAATCATGTCAAATTACTAACTACTTTGCAAGATCAGCTAATAGATGAATTAAAATAGATTAATCAATTTGAATGATACGATAATATGTTTTGGTATCTAATAATAACAGTCTAAACTTGCAACAAAAAAATCTCATTATAAATATATATGTCCAAACAGACGAGGATCCATGACTTTTTAAAAATGACGATTAAAACGAAAAGTTAGAAGATCGCGAAGTCCAAGATTCATAATCGTAGCACAAGACAGTGGCCAACCTCAAATGAGTAAAGACAGCAGATTAATCCATATACATGTACAGTCATGTACCATCACAGTAAAAACTAAAGCACTAAGAGTTAGTTATATTTATAACGGAAGAAAGTTCAAAAGTCATTTTGTATAGCTATACACACACGACATCATATATTTTCCTGTCGCTGACTTGATTGCTCTGCCTCGAACCGCTCGACGAGAACGAACTCGTCATTGGCATTGACGGTGCCGTCCAGGGTACTCTGTTTCCTCATGACGCTACGGAGCGATGTTGGTCGACCGCCCCGGCAACATCGGCTGCAATCACACTCGCATCGGCGGCACCGAAGGCAGCATTCTTCGCGACAGAGGATGAGGCGTCTGACATGAGGGTTGAAGCTCGGGTGCGTCATCCCGTAGACGATCGGGTGAATGCTGGCGGTCATGATGGCAATCGTCTCGCTGACTTGAACCACGATCTCTTCCGTGAGCTACGAAAATAAAATTGATTGACGTATGACATTTAATGTTATGGGATTTACAGGTTGAACGGGTTCTAGGAAAATTACCCCGAGGACAATCACCCCCGTAAAATTACCCCCCCCCCCCGGAAATTACCCCCAGAGGACATTTACCCCCGTCCCCCCGGAAAATTATTACCCTCGGGTTATTGTCCTCGGGGGTGGCTGTCCTTTGGGGAAGGGTTCCACGGGGAGCGGGGGGGGGGGGGAGCGGTGGTTGTCGTAGGAGTCATTTTTCCGAGGGTGATTTTCCGGGGAGTTTTTGTCCGTGAGTGTAGTTTTCCAGGGGTGATTGTCCAGTGGGTAATTGTCCTTACACGGATTGAATGAAATCAACGTTTGATAACTTAGTCTCGCCGAGGGAGCTAAATGCAAAATTATAGTCAAATTAACAAATCAGGGGGCGAAGCTAATAAGGAGGGTGTGGGGATGTGATGTATAACCGACCCATATTCAAAATTCTCTATCGGCAAATTTAGAACTCTCACTAGATACCATGATTGCATCTGTCCTCCGTGGCATAACTACAGGGGTCATGAGGGAATGTTTTTGAAACATATATGGCGCCATACAAATGCTGTGAATCATCATCATCATCTTTAGCAATGTGCCACCCCCACACCCTTCTCCATAGACTGGCGATAACAAAAGTGAGAAAAGATCTTCTTTTTTTTTAAGGAAAAGGGAGGGAAATCCGACGAGAAAAGAAGACGCATCAGCCAGCTCCCGCACCCTCCCCCTAACCAATCGCCTTGTATATTCACATATCATTTCCTGAGAATAAGACTGATGCCCCCCCCCCCCACCCACCCCCTCCCCTTCAATAGTGCCATACGCGGATTCATGCTTCGCCAGTGTCTGTCCTCGGATTACATGCTATAAATATCTGCATTATATGCAACTAATGGATCGAACAAGGAAATAATATATGCCATATTTTCATCCAGCACTTTATATTACCCGGGGGGGGGGGGGGGGGTGTGTTTCACAAAGATATTAAGTCAAACTTAAATCTAAGTTGGACTTAAACATTTTGGAGAGCCATTTTTAGCCTTAAAAATAAAATATACTTAACAGCAAAAATTAAGGTATTTTAGACTTTTCATAAATTCCACATCAAGAACATGAAATCTTTCATAATAATAGAAAATATGATTGATTTGAATCAACATTTTATGCCTTTTAAAATAAGTTTTACAACATATTTTCAATGATGCTAACGGCTTTCCATAATTGTCAAGTCCAACTTAGAGATAAGTTCAACTTAGGATCTTTGTGAAACAGCCCTATAGATCTTAATTCAGTTTCAATTCAATTTCAATTTGAATGACGTTTTACCAACCTTATCCAGAGGAAGTATCATAAGCACTATACTCGTGATGTAGAGGCATCCGAAGTTGAAGGTGAAGATGATGACGATGAAACAGACCGTCTTCAGGATCTTGAGCTCGTGGTCGTGATCGTCCTCGGCCTTTGAAGCCGTGGTCGAATCCTTCGACGACGACGCATCGCGGTTCTTGATCTTGATTGAGGACCCGCGTTTTCGAAGCTTGCGCCTGATGAGGAAGTAGATGACGGTGATGATGACGAGCGGGGCGATGTAGGAGAAGACGAACGAGATGATGACGGCGACGCGGTACTGCGGGTCGGAGTAAGCGCTCGCAGCATCGGAGTAGTTGCCGTAGAAGACGGGGGCGCAGATGATAAGTGAAACTGTTCGATGAAAAAAAAACGACATTAATAAGCGCTAAAAATAGCCTGCCATATGAAATCCTCAAATTTTGAATGATTCTACCGGACGTGCTAGAAATTACTGGGCTTAGAGCCAATACTTTTGCATATTAAAATTATCATTGTATTAATGTGACGAAGATAAAAAAGCGTTTGTTCCCTTTTCTATTTGATGAGTCATATATTGGACAGTTAAATCATATTCCTCAATGTGAAAATCACTCAAGCCTCCATTTCCTCCCTTTTCACCTTGATGTGTGTTTGCACGTCGAAAGTGAAAACAAAACGACCATTGTGAACAAAATGGCATTGTCTTTGCAAGATAAATACGCCTTGGTCAAAAAGACAATTGAAAAGACATAAATAAATCAAAAGGAAAACATCGCTAGATTTATATTTATATTATCTATAAGGTTAAGGTATAGTCCGGCGATTTGTTGATTGATTGATTTTTCTTTTTACAATGGTATGATTCAATAATTTACAAGTGAATTAACTTACCTGTCCAGACGGCAATGCATGATATGACAGCGACCCTCGTTCTCTGGAACTTGGCCGACTTCTTGGGGTCGACAATAATCTTAATATATCTCTCTATCGACAGGGCTGTCAGCATGGCACACGTATTATTGGTGATCACCTGTGTGATGGAGATCAAAATAATATTTTCGACTTGGATGTCGCTAAAACATTTCGATATCGAATTGCCCGTTCAGTGACATTTTAACTGTAGGCCTATGCTTTGTAAAATGGACATACATGGACATTCACAGAACAAAACAACAATAAACATAACATTATAAGAACGCTGCATGATTTCCCGATGAGTCACTAAAGTTAAAATATGAAAATAATTATTTGATATAAGTAATTGACAAATAATTTCGTTGAAGTCGGATGCGGATATTTAGTATTATCAGAAATATAGTTCCTTTAAGAGATGAGGAAGTGAAGGGCGGCAATATCGGGGTTACAGTTCATTGACGTCATTGTATATGCTGATAACCACAAATTGTTATGTGCAAAAATATACGCTCAGGGGCAGTGCGAGGGTATTTTTTTTAAGGGGGCTCGGATCTACACACAAATCTGAAGAACAAAATAATAATTTGGTTATAGATTTGAACAAATTACAAAGGGAGAGTCACCCCTTGCCTCCCTATACCCTGACCCTGAGAGCAAAAACAGTACAACTTACCAAAGAGATATAAAGGTAAGCCGATGAAGATATCAGACTCTCCGTTTGGATCATCATGGCCAACTTCAGGTAATACACGACATCGGTGATGGCCAGGACGGCGAGGTAGAGAAAATGCGTCATGCAGAGGTTGGCCACGAACAGATTCGGGAAGGTGTGCATGTCGCGGTGGGCGATGATCACGTAGAGCATGATCGAGTTGGCAAGCACGCCGACGACGATGAGACCCAGAAGGATGGGCGAGAGGACGGTGTCGAACCTGGCGATGATTTGGCAGTCGGAGACGGAGAGATTCGCACCGCACGTGGACGACACCGTCGTCGAAACGGAGTCCATGATTGTGACGACGTTGGAAAGTTTTCTCTCTTACAGATGCAGTTGCTTATAAAATTACCACAAGTACTGTATTGCAAGTACTATAGCTTCGATTAAAATGTACTTGATTTATTTATATTTAAAACACAGTGCGAGTGAATCTTTCTAAAGTAAGCTCTTGTGGAACACTGTTGAATAAAGATGAAATCCCATTGCCGTTTAGACCTCCATGAGAGTGAAATACATGTTATGACAATTCATCTTCCCAATGCATGCAGTCCTGACAGTTACAATCTAGCAAGGCCTGTTTATCCCTACTTCAGCTGCAGGCCTGGAAGTCGTCTATACTCGGACATGATATAATACGCTGTCATCGATATATCACAGGTTGACTTGACCATACGATATCAAACACGAGCGGGGATAAGATTTCACTTTCGACAGCTCGAGGATCACTAGCTCACAAACAAAACGGCCATTGAATTTCTCAAGAGCGATATTTGAAACTGTAGGTCTACGACAATGAGGGGATGTGCATGACTTGTCATCTTGCCAAGCACTTGAACAGCCGATGGATCAAAATAGGATGATACTGTTGGAAAAGTAATGAAGAAATGGGGTAGAACAATGAAGATATTAGAGAATCGAGAGGAGGGGGAGGAGGAAGAGGAGGAGAAGAAGAAGGAGGAATAGAAGAAGAAGAAGAAGAAAAAAGATATTAAGCGAAGAGGAGCAAGAAGAATGTTAATAGTTATAATAATAACAAGTAAACAAAATTTTAAAAAGAGGAACTAGAAAAACAAAAACAAAAACTTCAAGAAGAGAGGAAAGAATAGGAAGTGAAGAAACGAAATGCAAAGAGATCGAAGTCAAACGAGAGGAAGGATGTGTCAGTGTGTGTGAGATATAAATAGAGAGAGAGGGAGGAGAGGGAGAGAGAGAGGGAGAGAGGGAGAGAGGGGGAGGAGAGAGATAGGGAGAGGAAGAGAGAAAGAGAGAGACAGAGAGAGAGAGAGACACACAGAGAGAGAGAGAGAGATACAAAGAGGGAGAGAAGGGTGGGCAGGTAGGCGGATGGAAAGCGAAAGAGAACGATGGGAGAATGAGAATAGAGAGAGTAATGGCGGAGGGGCTGACGTGAGTGGGCGTTTGGGTGGCAGCGGAATATGACACTTTATATGCATAACATGTATTCAGTCGCGGATCCAGGATTTCTTGGGGGGAGGGGGCAAATTTGAAATTAATTTGAGTGTGCTGAAATTTGAAAAATCGTGCCGGCCGATATTTCGCTTAGTTGGGGGGGGGGGGGGGGTAGTGAGCACTAAATATTTTCTATTTTATCCCCGAAAATTTGAAAATCGCTTAAACAAAAACTAAACAACCCCCCCCCCCCCCCCCCCCCATTGAGCAAAAAAGAAAAGGTAAATTTCTGGTCCTCATTTTTTTTCTTCTTCTTCACAAGGATAATAATATCGTCCTATTAGGGGGGGGGGAATTTTCCGGGGGTAGTTGTTATCCTTGGGGTGGTTGTCCTTAGGGGTAGTTTTCCGGGGTAGTTGTTATCCTTGGGGTGGTTGTCCTTAGGGGTAGTTTTCCGGGGTAGTTGTTATCCTTGGGGTGGTTGTCCTTAGGGGTAGTTTTCCGGGGTAGTTGTTATCCTTGGGGTTGTTGTCCTTAGGGGTAGTTTTCCGGGGTAGTTGTTATCCTTGGGGTGGTTGTCCTTAGGGGTAGTTTTCCGGGGGTAGTTGTTATCCTTGGGGTGGTTGTCCTTAGGGGTAGTTTTCCGGGTAGTTGTTATCCTTGGGGTTGTTGTCCTTAGGGGTAGTTTTCCGGGGTAGTTGTTATCCTTGGGGTTGTTGTCCTTAGGGGTAGTTTTCCTGGGTAGTTGTTATCCTTGGGGTTGTTGTCCTTAGGGGTAGTTTTCCGGGGGTAGTTGTTATCCTTGGGGTTGTTGTCCTTAGGGGTAGTTTTCCGGGGGTAGTTGTTATCCTTGGGGTGGTTGTCCTTAGGGGTAGTTTTCCGGGGGTAGTTGTTATCCTTGGGGTGGTTGTCCTCAGGGGTAGTTTTCCTGGGGTAGTTGTCCTGATACGATGGAGGGATATAGATGACGGTGGAAGGGGGAGAGAGAGGGAGAATGGGAGAGAGAGAGAGACTAAGTGAGATGAAGTGAAGGGAGGTTTGGAGTGGGGGTGTGCGTGTGTGTGTGTGTGTGCGTGTGAGTGAGTGTGTTCGCTCGTGTGTTCGCTCGTATGTGTGTGTGTGTGCGTGCGTGTGTGTGTGTGTGTGGAGGTGAGAGCAGGCAGGTGTTGGGGGAGAAAATGGATAAGCAATATGCCGAAGCACAATCTGTAAAATAATTAACTCTCCCCATATGAAGATGACTCCGACGATAGGGTCAGGTCACGCATAGTTTGTAAGTATATAGTATATACACTTGCACAACACACTCACCAACTCATACACAAAGATCGTTTAAACACTTTTTCATTTTAAGTTTTACCTTAAGATTTTTTTATTGAGGCCGCCATCCTTGTCAAGCTTTGCTTATAAATGCCGTCTCCTGCACTTTTCCAACAGAATAGTTCGGATAATACTTTAAATTTATGATAATATGTTATGGAAATATTAAGTTTCGTTATTATATGTACATATATTATGTAAAAAAAACTTTTGACATAAAGAAATTATTGTTTGTTTATGTTGTATTATACCTTACATTTATATGTTCTTTGTTATTCAGTTATATTTTATTTGGAAAAAATGCAGAAATAAAATAAAATAAAATAAAATCAAGTGTTAACCTGACGGCAAACTTACTTCCTATGTATGGGTAAGTCTATTCCGGCCCCTCCCCCTCACTCCACCTGAGAAAGGTTTCACTTCTGATTGGTTAAAAAGATTGCTTTACCGCTCGTCATGAATAGTAGGCTTTTCGTGATTGGTCAGTTAAGGGACATTTTCTTTATTTTAATTTTAAAAATGATAAATAAGCAATGCTTTTTCGTTCAGTTTCATCCCCTTTTGTATTAAAAAAACAAACGATTTTGTCATTAAATTTCATGTCAAAGTGGAACGAAATGTTTTTTTTTATTGGTAACCAAACAATAATTTTCGAAACTGAAAGCAAGGTTCATGCTCCACGATTGGTCAGTAATATGTGAAACTCTGATGACGTCATTACATTGACATTGACAAGTTGAATGACAGTATCGTCACAAGGCACTGGCTTCTGCGCATTACAGGGCGTGGCAGGGCGTAGTTATAAAGCGTGTAACGCCAATAGGGGCCACTAAACTGGAAGCATAATGATGCGCTTCATGTATGCGCTGCGCGTTGCAAGTATTTACGCCTTATCTAACGCCCTGGTAACAAAAATGTACACAAATCACATTCTCTTGCACTTAAGCGATCTCGAGAACTTCCTGCCAAACTTTTGACAGTTTTTGCCTATTTTTCACTCTTTTAAAAGATCTTATTTCCATCCGCCACGTAAGTACCTAATTCTTACACATTAATGATTATTTAGAGCAAATTTGAAGAAAATCGGAGCAATATCCTATATTTTATCGAAGCAAAAGGAACTTTTCGTTGACTTTTTTTGGTGTTCACATCCATTCCCGTATCATTAACACGCATGTTAACGATGATCTTGATCATGATGTCTGCCAAACCCGCTTACGTGATGACATTATCTCCCCTTTTCTTTTCATGTGCTATTTATACATTTCAACGTCGTTTCACTTTCTTCTTCGCCCCACCCCCCCCCCCCCCCTCGTTTAGATCACAGTTTCTAAATAATATCACTGGAAATGTTTTGCGTTGGACGGATCCGCTCCCCACACCCCTATATCCTTGGCAGACCTTTACCCTGTATCGGGTCAGCTTTTCCTGATGCCATCCAACCACCGATGGCTATCCCCCAGGATGTAAGCAAGAAAATTAAACATGAAATGAAATAAATAAAAGACTAGAAAAATGATATATAGACTAGATACAGCTAGATACAACAAATACTTCAAACGATCAACAAAAAATGATAACCAACGTAAAATATATAGGCAAAAATGTTAACAAAATGAAAAAGAAAAAAACAACAGTTATTTGGAAGAAAATACGAAAAACAAAATATAAAACACATTAAGATAGTATACTTTGCGTTTACCATGCATATCCCCCCCCCCCCCCCTTCCCCACGGCGCTTCCGGACGTCGTGAGCTCGATGATGAGACAATCTGTTGGCTTAATAAGGATCTTCCTATCTAGATGATGTACTCCCTGATATTCTTTGCACGAACGAACGAACGAACGAACCATGCATAGTCAATTGAATTTTGTAGGTGGCCTACTATATAGCCGTATACATGGACACATCATTCACCGATACAAATTTAAAAAACAGTTACCATTTTTGCCTCAAACTTAATATAAACAGGAGCTATGTAGGTCCTTCCAAGACCCCAGCTTCTATCTGTCTTCTACCATCTCACCCACACCAGCTATGTCGGGCAAGCTCCTTCTGAAGTACCTCCAGAACAACTTGGAGAAAGAACAACTTCAGCAAGGCATTGTTGTAAGTCTTAAGTACTAGTAAAGTAATAATAGTTGAAATCAATCAATTCAGATCTTTCATTTTTGCGCTAGAAATATATATCATCGATGGTATGAAATCAACAATTTCGTTATGGCAATTATAATGGCAATGGTGAAACTAATATCGCATGATATGTTGGTAATATAAATAGTAACAATAATATAAAATGAGATATAATTCATATAAATATTAATGACTATGATATTTTTGTAAATTAATGTGTCAAAGGGCCAAATTGTAACCACTTTAGGGCGGTATAAATTCAAAATTGATTTATTTTTAACAAGTTAAGTTAAGAATGAGTTTTTATAAAGTTTTAAACCATGTTAGATAAAACTAAATTGTATATCTGATGCTTTAATACAAAAACAAGTATCATTAAAAAAATCAGAGATTGAAATAAGAAACCCAAAATTCAAAATGAAATATACATGTATATATTTGTTTGTATTTTCTT